TTTTCTTTCGGGGATTATTCTGAAGTATTTCTTCCCCAGCATAACCGAAGTCGAGGTCTTTATCTTGCTTATAAACCGTCATGTTCACATGTACGTAAAATGAGCATATCCCAGAATTCCAGTAAGAAAAAACTTGTATCATATTTTTTTATGCAAAAACAAAAACCTACCCTGGATGAATAACCCGGTTTTTTTAAAAAAAAAAAAAATATAATTGTGCAGTTAATGCGATCGAAGGCTTTTTCTTGATTAAATGATAATATATAGGCACTGGACTCATTTGTGTTTATATAATTTAGGAGTGTATCAATTGAATGTATCAAAAATTGGTTTCATTTGATCCGGCTCCAGTTTGTGTATTAGAGATTAATTTGTTAATAACTGTATCGATTCTTGTGCTTAGTTCGTTCGTTCGTTCGTCCACTTCCACCTAAGGTGATATCGTAGACAAGTTGTGCTTAGTATTTTTGTGATGATTTTATAGTCGACACATAACGGGCTTGTTTTGATGCAATAAACATATTATCTTATCTTATCTTATCTTATCGGTCTATAGTTCTTAAGTAATCGGTGGTCGCCTTTATTCTTATAATTAAGTGTTATTATACCAGTTCTCATTGTTTTTGATAATTCACCCTGTAAAAAGATGTTGATTATTACTTCTGTTAGTCGGATCCCATGGTGTCAAAGAATTTAAAATGTAGAAATAACATGGAATACCATTATGCCCGGGCTACGGTTTCTTCTAAGCTTTATAAGAACTTCTCTCTAGTTATAGAATTTGATAGGTTATCTTTTTCCGTGTTAGAGAATTTATGTCACTGTTTTCAATACAGGAGTTTATTAGGATATCGTCAATATTTTGAGATGTATATAATTGTTGCTAATATTGGTGAATTGTGTCTAAAATATTTTGTTCATTATCACATACTGCATTATTTTGATTGATTGGTTGTTTAATTTGCTTGTTTGCACCGATTTTAACTCCTGATAGTTTATATATTTTAGAATTAGTAGATAAATCAGTTTGAGGTATTTCTAATTTTGATCGTATAATGTAGTCTCATTTTGTCATAGATTACATCCAAGCCAATAAGGTAAGCCTATATTTACCGTTTTGATTGATGCAAGCCCAAACCTAATTAATCTTTACGTTAACAATTACACGCAAGCTTTTGTAATAATGGATTTGTTTTCTTCTATTATTTGATTCATTTAATTAGATGATTATGGCCAAGCTTGCATACATAATGGTATAGGTCAGTATGTTTCAAGTCTGGAAGCAGAAACTAACTATATCTAGTAGTAGTAATATCAGTGAAGTTTTACAATTGTGGGTAAAGCTAAATTTATCGTGAGACAAAAAATAGAAAAAAAGTAGAGGCGTTCGCAGAAAATTTCTTGTGCTTTTCGCAGTTTTAAATGCAGAATCTCGCGTACAATAGATTTATTCTATGAATATTTGTCTATACAGACGTGGTCTCGAATAACGAAAGATGGGATATTTAAACTTGAGAAGATTTACATTTAGAATTCCTGCACGTAATTATTACCGACCTTGGTAGGTACTTATCACCACAGGCACTTGTAACCTGGAAAAGTTTACAAAAAGGGCGATAGGCCTATAGCCTACCTACATGTAGCAGAAATTTACCTTGAATATACCTATTTAATATAGATTTAATTGTTTGCAAAAAACAAACAAGAACTGATTTATGTACGGTACCATTTTTTTAAAAAAATTGTGAGAAATCGGTTTTGCCAAGCTCGAGCCGTTTTATCGATCGACATTCAGAAACGAGTTACGAAATCGTGTTTATAAAATAAGTTATACCTGTATTTTATATACTTCAAACGATATTACGTGGATCGGGATACATTGTCTATGGGGTCTAGACTACCCTAAATTTTTGACGTATTTTCTATTTATAGTACAAGTATTAATATCCGAAATACTGTTTAAAAAAAGTCCGTGCGGCCTGTCATTTAATATGTTTCGGCCTCCTGCGGTACAATAACCGTCATTAGATCTCACTAAAGAAGGCTGTAAGGAAATGAAATGAAATGAAATGGGGTTTAACGTCCTACTGTTCTGCTCCTAACCTGGGCTAATGAAGACGGGCATACGCCATACAGTGTGCTATGAAGGAAATTTTGCCCGGGCAGCGGCGCCACGACCTACTCTTATATCGAATTCCAACTGCCAAGGGGTCTTTTACGTGCACGCCAATGTGTACACGGGACCTCGGTTTTTCGTCCCATCCGAACGACTAGACAGCTGTCCTTGTCAGGCCCTCCGTCCTGCATCACTGACAAGGGGGAAACCACGCCGGAAAATCTGGATGAACTTTCTCGGCCAATGCAGGGATCAAGGTTGTAAGACAGCAACATCGATTGAGTTATTTCAATATTTTCCGCAATGCAATTAATTATGCATGCGCGCTCATCTACTTATTATAAACAGGTTGGAATTGGAAGGGTTATATCTGGTGCAATGCTTGTGCGCGCTCTTCTACTTATAAACAGGTTGGAAGTTTAAACTTAAAAAAACAAAAAAAGCAAAAAAAAAACCCCCGAATCAAACATGTACGCGTTGAAGGTTCTTGTTATTTACAATACAGTGCAAGCACGAAAAAGCATGGTCTGTTTTGACAATCACCGGGTTAGTATGTTGGGGTGTTCATTTATATGAACACCTACTTTTCCTCAAATGATCACCAGCGCACGTGCTAAAACAACACATTACAGGCTGATCAGTAACTTGAACACCAGAGTCAGAACAAAGGGTCCAGTGTGTAAGTAAGGGTTATCGACTGAGACAGAGGGGTTCAAGGTTTTCAATGATTTCCAGATTTGTGGCCCTTTATATTTAATGTTTTGAGTACTCAACGTCAGTATAGGGCAGAATTAGAAGTCAAACAAGTATTACAATTACATAATGGGTTGTTATTCGTACTTTTATTTTTATGTGTTGTAAATGTTTTCCTTACCGACAAGTGGGGTTCGATGGCCGAATGGTTAGCGCGTGCGCGCTGTATCATAACGTCTGTCATTGAGTCAACTGGCGTGGTGCTTGACCAGGTGTAGGGTAGCCTGTCCAACCTCGTGGGTTTTCTCGGGGTCCTCCGGTTTCCTCCCACTGCTAAAGACCCCTACGCCCAAACGAATTATTGAAATAAAATTGAACCATGTTAGTCCCGAAATACCTCTTTTGTGTCGAGTGAACGTTAAACCCCATTTCTCTCTCCATCCCCACAAAAGAAAAAATATGCGACACCCTTATTGACTGCCCGGACGACTTAGCTGCTGTGGGCGTATGTTTCGTTGTCTGGCAACCTATCTTTAAATTCCACAACAGGCCAATGAATAATATAATAATTATTTGGTGTGAATGGGGTATGCTGCATTGACTGGAATACGTTTTACATTCACGATTTGTCAGCAACAAAATAACCATGTACGAAAAAAATAGCATGTGCGATGTTGTAGGAAAGGTATTTTACAAGATTACAAATTATCTAAAACATGGCCAAACAGAAATTTATCCGAGTTCGCTAGGTTTTGTGTATTTGTTCCTCATACTTTTGGATGCGTTTTCTAGCTAATGATACTATTTCACAATCTACATTGAAAAAATATTTATTTATTGTTTTAACTGCATGTATTTATATTTTGTAACTAACACGGTATTTCTTGTTATTTACAATACAGTTCACGCACGAAAATGCATGGTCTGTTTTGACAATCACCGGGTTAGTATGTTGGGGTGTTCATTTATAAGAACTACTTTTCCTCAAATGATCACCTGTGCACGTGCTAAAACAACACATTACAGGTTGATCAGTAACTTTATAAACCTGTAACGGCAAATATCTTTGATCTTTGGGGTATATTCTATGCCCTGAATAACTTGAGGTCTGAAAGTCGAGGGGAATTTGGGGTTATTCTTCTGAAAGTTTTTCTTTAAACCTGTAACAGATTATTCTTCCAGGGTAGGGGTTTTTTTTCTCCATAAGAAAACATGATCTAAGGTTTTTCTTTTGGGAATTCTGGCATATTCTCATTTTGTGTACATGTAAACATAGACGGTTTATAAGCAAGATAAAGTCCTCGACTTCGGTTATGCTGGGGAAGAAAATCTTAAGAAAAAACCCTCGACAGAAAACCCTCGGCCTCCCGGCCTCGGTTTTTCTTTTTCTCGGGTTATTTTCTTCAGTCTTTCTTTCCCCAGCATAATCTCGGTCTCATGCTTTATCCTACACTGAACACCCGAGTCAGAACAAAGGGTCCAGTGTGTAAGACTAAAATATCCCCCACCCCACCTAAATTGTTATAGTTTTCCAATTAAGCTTGAAACTAGAATATTGATTAATTAATTTATGATACTTTGGCTCTGACGTGGTTCTATGGTGTAATGGTCAGCACTCTGGACTCTGAATCCAGCGATCCGAGTTCGAGTCTCGGTAGAACCTAACTGTTTTGCGTAGTTATTTCACATATTTATGGTTAGTTTTCGTTAATTTCGAAAAACCTTTTATTAATTGAAATATTAAGCTTTGCAAAACATTTTATTGCTATAATAAATAAAATAGTAAAAATTGTTTACGTCGCCGATAGGATTCGAACCTATGCGGGGAGACCCCAATGGATTTCTAGTCCATCGCCTTAACCACTCGGCCACGACGACTGTGGAATATGGGGATTATTTCTTATTATCAATTACGCATTATAATTATCCGCTGACCTATTCACCTTTTATTGGTGACGTCGTAAACCTTGATATTAACCAACGACGCTGGTTAGATTATTATTAACAGACTAAGTTTATAGTTGTATTTATCTCCACTATTTTTACTATTAAATGTCTGAATGGCAGAGCAGAAATAGTTAAACCCCATTTCAGTCATAGCTGTAACTAAACAACTCGTTACGTTGATTTCACTGAATTGATAATAATATTGGAGGAATGGCGGAGGAGAGCGGGAAAAAAAAATAACACTTGGCTCCTGTGGGGGTCGAACCCACGACATCCGCGTTATTAGCACGGCGCTCTAACCGACTGAGCTAAGGGGCCACGAACTGACGAATTTCAACTTATATTTTGTTTGTTATGTTTTGCGTGGTGCAGTCCCCAAAGCCAATATTTCAGTTTACAAATTTTGAGTGAAATTTGTTAATTTCATTCATTAGTTACGTGTAGCTGTGAGTTCACCTCAGATGTCCTGAATTAGTCCAAGCTGTACATTTTTGATAGGTGAGTAAATCGAATGGAGTTTGTTTTACATGGGCCTGAAAGTCCATGGTTTTACTGTTCTACTGTACAAGAGTAGATACTATTTTTAACTTGAGCTATGATAATTGGCAGAGCAACCAGCAGGTTCTATGGTGTAATGGTTAGCACTCTGGACTTTGAATCCAGCGATCCGAGTTCGAGTCTCGGTAGAACCTAACTTTTTCTGAGTGGAGGTTGTGTGCATAGATAATCCTATAAGAGATAATCCTATAAAAGATATCCTTAGGAGGATATATCCATGGTTGTGTGTAAACCTCCTTTAGACTAACCCCCAATTAAATCGCGTTCCCCCAAACCACCTATCGCAGTACCGGCATGGTCATGCCATGGACGATTTTCCTTAACAACATTTAAAAAAAAATTGGCATTTAAAATATTATATTAATTTAATACTAATAATAGTGTATTCTATTTCTAGAATCTCACCGTACATATAAACTCAAATTACTAAGTAAAATAGAGTGGGGCTAAATTACTTTTCAAAAAGCCGCCTAGGTTAAATGGGGAACCTCTGTTTGACCTAAGAAGCCAAAAATACTAAAAATGAGGACATGCCTCTATCATCCCCGGCGGGATTCGAACCCGCGACCTCTGGATTAGAAGTCCAGCGCGCTATCCGCTGCGCTACGGGGACTGCCGATAATCACTTGACGATTATACACGACTCTCACGTCTTGTGGTGTCAGTTGTTAGTTTCCTCGACAAAATTCACAATTTCCTGCAACAATAAACGATAACAGTAAACAAACCGGATAAACAAACCTACCAAATTTCTGTAATAAGTTGTCTTACCTTTAACAGTAAACAAACCGGATAAACAAACCTACCAAATTCCTGTAATAAGTTGTCTTACCTTTAACACTTACAAATTTATTCTTCAAATATAGCTCGTTGTCTTTCTGGTCCTAGTTAGTAGCTAAAATAAGATTTGAGCAGGTTTGATTTCCGTTTCCTTCAAATTTTGTTGATAACTGTTCAAGCAATAAGGTAAAAATATTCTGTGCATCGACCGGGAATCGAACCCGGGTCACCCGCGTGGCAGGCGAGTATTCTACCACTAGACCACCGATGCGTACACGTTATAAAGTTAATAAGATAATATTACATATTGCCTCGTAGAAAGACACTCACAGTCGTCGCCTTGAACCATAGATTTATATATCGCTTGTCGTGCTCAGCCTATTCGAGTCTATTAATAGAATGGTCTCGCTCAGGAGAAACAAAATGGCGGCTATCGAGGGGCAAACGTCAATGGTGGTGAATGAATGGTAATACTAAACTACATTCAGAATCTAATACGAAATTTTATATTCCGAAAAAGTTTTTTTTTGGTTAGGCCCATTGGTGGATGAAGTTAATTAAATCTACTTCAAGGTTCAAGGATTTTTTTCCCCAAAACATAATAAGACATGGAGTAGATCTAATTAAAACATAGAAAGAAGAGCTTTCATTAATTTTTATTTTGAAAATTTAAAAATAAAAATTAATAAAAGGATTTTTTTTCTTTTAGGTCTGGTTAGGGTAGAGCCCAACTGGACGTTATGCTGTAGCCTACTAGCACTGATAACTAATTTATTTTTAAAATTAGTACCGTAATTGTTTGTTTAGGGTAGGCCTACTCTTTAAAAAATATTTTGGTGGAAAATATCTCTGAATTTCAATTGTCCTAATTAAATTTTCAATTATTTCGAAATGGGCAGATTTTATTATGTTGAGTTTGGAAAAAATACCCCCAAAACAGCAAACAATTATTATTGTTTTACTTACCTTATTGATTAAATCAATAATCAAATAAAAGATCAAATTACATTTATAACAAAAACTGAGTCAACAAGTTAATTAACTGTTTTAATAACAATTGTATTACAATAATTATTTTATACAGTAATAAAAATTACTTTAAATAATAATAATGATATAATAGTATTAGTAATAGCCAATTAGTTTATATTAACAATATTATACATTAATAAACAATTAGTTTACTAACAATCATATACAGTAATAAAAAACGGGGTGTGGTGTGGTCGAGTGGTCTGATGCGCGCGTTTCAGATCATAAGGTCTGTCAAATGACGTGGTTTCCATCCCAAGCTTGTACAATGTTTGTGACAAGGAGTAGGGTCGCCTGCCGAACTTTGTGGGTTTTCTGCCACTGCTAAAGACCCCTACGCACAAGCGAATTATTGAAATATAATAAAATTCTACCATAATATGATAGTCCTGAAATTGCCTAGTTTGTGACAATAGTCAATTAGGCGTTAAAGTAGCTAAGTCTCTAACCCAATATCATCCAAAATCTTCGACATTGAAAACACGATTTATTTGTCGGTTTAAATCAACATTGATGTTGTGATCTTACCGGGAAAATATGGCCTTCTGATATCCAATATTTAAGACAAAATAAACATTTTACAATTGGTACACGAATCGTGTACCATAATGCGTTTCAGTGCTATTTGTAATAAGGGACTCGAAAAACGAGGCTAGGCATATTCCACAAGTCATGTCAAACGGTGATGCTATATTCTTATCTGGAGAGCAAGCCCAATAAATAAACTTACGAATGGTAACTTATCTCCAAATCCTTAGAAAAAGGTTGTAGCAACTAAAAACACACGTTTTCACCATTACCATTTCCAGCGGACGTCAACTTGCCCACTTACAAAATGGTGGACCGCTTCCATTAGTTGGCCAAGGTCTTACGTAATTGAACCTCCTCTAGTTCTATTTATAACTCTATGACTTGAACTCGATAAGAATTTGGGGTATGGGCGGTCATAAAATTTTTATAAACCGGCCTAAATAAAATTATATTTAAAGTAAATATGCCCCCCCCCCCCCCCAAAAAAAAAATAGCCGACAATAGTTTTCTAAAATACCTACTGTTTGTAATCTATAGGCACCAGTCAGGGATCACCATGTGGAGTATTGATTTGAGGACGTGGCACCCTGCACCCATGTAGTCTCATTGCCATTGTACGAAAAATCGCGTTTTTAGCTTGTGGTCCGTCTAGAAGTCACACTTATTATCCGATTTAATAAAAAAAAAAACGTTTGAATATATCACCGCTACACCGTAATATTGGTTGAGTTCGAATTTCGTGAAAATCGGGCCAAAACTGCCGGACAAAATGGCCGCCCCTCGTACGCAAATAGTGTAAATATATGGTGTATCAAGGTTGTGGACCCTCTAGAAGTCACAATTTTGGTCCGATGTTGATAAAACTTGAAATGCATGTTTCTAGCCCAAAGATCTTGGTTACTTTCGATATCGGATCGTAACTTCCTGAATTATGGCCCCTGATATTATACGAAAAATCGCTTTTTTAGCTTGTGGCCCCTCTAGAGGTCACACTTATTATCCGATTTTTTTTTAAAAAAAACGTTTGAATATATCACCGTTACACCGTAATGTTGGTTGAGTTCGAATTTCGTGAAAATCGGGCCAAAACTGCCGGACAAAATGGCCACCCCTCGTATACGCAAATAGAGATCACAATTTTGATCCGATTTTGATGAAAATACACGTTTATAACACAAAGATCTTGGTTCCTTCCCGAATTATGGCCCTTGATTGTACAAAAAATCACGTTTTTTACTTGAGGTCACAATTTTCATCCAATTTAAAAAAAACCCCAACAAAAACGTATGAATATATCACCGTTACACACTTTTGATAATCGGGCATATCCGAACGTAACTTATGTCCCCTGATTGTTCGAAAATTGCATTTTTAGCTTGCGGATTCTCTATAGGTCACAATTTTTTTCCGATTTTAAAAACCGCTTAAATATATCACCATTCCACCATAATGAAGGTTGAATTCGAATTTTGGGAAAATTGAAATGAAACTGCCCAACAGGTCACAATTTTTTTCCGATTTTAAAAACCGCTTAAATATATCACCATTCCACCATAATGAAGGTTGAATTCGAATTTTGGGAAAATTGAAATGAAACTGCCCAACAGAATGGCCGTTCTTTGTACGCGGATTGTGTAAAAGTATGTAATACGAAGGTTGTGGACCCACCAGAGGTCACAATTTTTATCCGATTTTTATGAAAGTTAAAACATGGTTTTATATCCCAAAGATCTCAGTCCCTTTTGATATTTGCGCATTTCAGACCATAACTTTCTGAATTATTGTACAAAAAAAACCGCGTTTGCTTTTAGCTTGTTCTCTATCCATCTCTTGCAAAATGTGGGCGTATCCTGCCCGACAGTCGCTGTTTCTTTCAATGTGGTTTTTTTTTGTGTGTGTGTAGCCGTGTATTTAACAGCAGTGATTAATTAATATTTGCGAATTTGACTCTGAATTAAAGTTTCTGGTCGTCATTTTTGGGTGTTAAGCAGTGGAAAGGTAGATAAAATCCGAAAAATGAAAAACCGAAATATCAATCAGTAGCTTTAAGAAAGCAAAATCAAAATATCATCGGTGAAAGTCTTACAGATGTGGGTACTGGAATTCGACTTAAGACGCATCAAAGACCCGACATGCGACTCGTTATAAAATATTGATCGCGACACGAGATAACCTAGTTGTCCGAAGTTTCGAGTAAGCAAAACTGGTGAAAATGAAATGCTTACCCGTTTGATGAACTGGCGACTTAAACGGAATTGGGCTTGGTGAAGACTTGGGACTCGCCTCGGACTCTCGCGACTTGTTCCCACCAATAGGCTGGGTAAATCAAAAGATTTTAGCTTAGACTTACGGTTAGTGGTATGGTAGTAGCTGTTGGTTTAACGTTCGCTCATGGGTGGCGCTGGCTTGTTTTGGGCCTTTTTTGACGAAAGTGAATTTGGTCGTTTTGGAATTTGTCCGTTTGACGATGTCCAGTTTATATATCGTCTGCTGAATGTTGACGAATTTTCAATTCAGTATCTTTTTTTATTAATACAGAACGGAATCGAACCATTTTTGGACTGTTATCTAATAGCACACGAGATTTGAATTGACAACCAGCCAATAATATGTTACATTCCCTATTTATGCAAGTTTTATTGCGTACCTGTTAATGCACCTATTTATAGGTTAGTTTTGTAAGATTTATAAAAAAACATTACGATAAAAGAACAGTTTAACATTACAGTTATAAGGACTGTTACAATCAAAAAGTAATAATAGAATAGGAGACACTATTACGTGTTAACCAACAACTAAAAAACTGTATAGGGCGGTATATTGAATATCCAAATACAAACCTTCTATATTGATCCAAGTTCGATATAATAGCTAATCACTTTCCTTTCGAGAAAAATACAAAAGCCAATTCAACGATAAAGAAATTGTATGGTTAAACAGGTTAATGGTCCTGTATATAATACTGGGTGTTTCTGTTCGTCCTAGAATCGTTCTAGACATCCTATATATTCTGGTTTGAGTCAAACGATTAACACCTAAATATTGAAAATTATTGTTAAATGTATAGCTATTTAAATGGATAGCAGAAATGAACAAGATGTCGACAAGGTTAGTTCACATATTCACGTTTTTCGTCCCAACCAATCACACAGATAAAGTAACCGAGTGTTCACACGTTATCGACTTCATATATTTAAACCGCACGTGTTAGTCCCAACTGAAAACCTAGCTACGAGAACGTAGCTAAATACGTTGAGATATACTTCTGTGCTTGTTTTTAGCTACGATTGGGTGCCTTTAGTACGAAGTGGCAAATTCAATTTCTTTATTAATACATGTAACATCTTAAAAATATGATAATTTAATACTATTAAGACTAATTAGTGGCACAACTATCGCATAACTCCAAATATTCGCGTTTAAATTAATGAAGCGTTGTTTTTATCCGACATACACCGTCATACATCTCCCGTTAAAAAATGGCGTTCCCAGTAACGGCTTAACGCCTCGGTTTTAAATACGATGATTTATACCCGTTCAGGTAGGATTATATGCTTAATTGTAGTTGGATGTGGCAGAAATATTATAAATAACAATCAATCGTTTTGATGAAAAATATTGTCAATTTTGCTTACTGGGGCCCGATATGATTAGCGTTGGGGTACGTGGAACTATATAGCAGGGTTGAGAGATGAGGTTTGTTATCAACTGAAAACCCTGTAAAGTGATTTATATATGGTATACTCTCATTATTACATCTTGTTACTGTTTTACCCCCCCCCCCCAATAAAAAATATATTAATTATATTTTAAATTTGCATTACACGATCATCCATTATAATTATAGTTGGTTCTGATATTATTTAACCCATGTCACAATTATATGAAACTCAAGTTAAGTAGAAGTTTATTTCTGGCTTGTATTCCATATATCTGTGTCATGTGTTATTTTATTCAGTTACTGAAATCCACCTAAAAAATAACTGATCTTGTGTATTATATTCGTACATTAGATGTACGCACCTATTTTACCTCAATGTGGAATTTACAACTGAAGTTTATTTCGTATCCAAAAGACATGTTTGGAAAGAAAATTGAATTATTTGAATGTACACATAAAAAAGTTACGTCTGTCTGGGTTGACAAATAAACCCCACAAATTAAAATGCATGCACACTCTACCCATGCCTATTTTGGTTTGTATATTATAAATGAACGCACACTAACAAACAAACAAACAGGTTTGATCTGAACATTTATAAATATTCATTGATAATTATATTGAAAATACTAATATTTCAAGCGATAAGAATGTAGACTTGTCATGGGTTGACATCAAGTGATTTAAAGGTACTTTCAGGCCCCTTTTCGGTATATCGCTAGGATGACTTACAGTTAAAAACGAAACGAGATCAACAAAACTTTATTAATAATTAAGATGGCTATGGGGTTATATAAGAAAGTCTATAACGGATATTTTACTTTTACCATGGGGCTCGGCCTTGTGCTTGATCTTGGTCTCCTTAACCCTCCTGTGAATTTACTCTGGATTTTAATTATTTCAGGTCAGTGATCACTTTCGTTTTGTTAATCGCGAAATCCTGAAAGAAGACTGGCAGAATCTCCATGATAATTATGAGTTCTATACTGGAAAAACATCACCTGTAGACCAATCAACGCCCAAAAAACAAGTTCTTGTGGACTTTGAGAATCTTCAGCGATTCTATTCGTCGACTAAACCTGAAAAAGAATTCTGGATACCGGTAAGTTGTTTCGCCGATACTAATGCTTTTATCTTATGATATTAAACATTCACATTAAGAAAAAGGATACTATTTTTTACTGTGGGCTATTTTCCTTCTCCACACGTTACATCAATTTTAAAGATACATCATGGGAGATTAGATAAAGAGCTGGCAGTTCTCACTGTAATAGTTAAAAACTAGATAATATAAAGTGAATTTGCTGAAAATTTCTGTCAAATTGATCCACTCTGAACCGAGTAGCGATTGAATTTTGGGCCTAGCCTCGATCATCATTACTTAAGCCGGTACGATAAAAAAAAACCATAGCCCCGATTATCCATTTTTGATTTAATTATGAATGAGCATTGAGCAACAGATCGGGTTATAATCCAGTAAATATCGCAGGCTAGCGATGACATCGAGAGTTCATTATGATCTGGATACATGTTAATTAATGTCTAAATAATAATTTAGATAACATTTCGGGCCCAACGGAAGATCTGCAATTGGCAGATTTAGCTGTTGCATAATGTATGTTTAAATGTAAAATAAATATGTCGGCGGGTTTTTTTCTGCATCCCATGCATTTTCTTTCCTTTCACATAGCCATCGACTAAATTCCGAAGTTCAACCAAAGATCAGTACTTTTCTCCATTTAGCGGTGCCTCTTCATATGGCGATCCCAACCTTTTCATTGCACCAGACAGCACCGAATCCTTCCATTTAGGCAGCAGCAATGAAGAGAAAACGAAGTCTGGTGGACCGTCAAAATCCTGCATGCTTGCACTTTGTTTGTTGGCACTGTTATTTTTTCTAGCTATAACTTGTGGGATTTTTCTGACAGTTCTGCTACCAAGTAAGCTACATGTTTCATTAATATCCATATCTCAACATTCGCTCTGAATTACGTGAATGATGAATCTGAATATTTATTTTGTAAATATATCGCTTTCTGTATTTCATTTGACTTGGCAATATTTTCGAGTTTGTTTATTAGACGTGTTAGACTGAACCTGATCAGTTTTCCTATGATATTAATTTTGAAATAACCAAATTTGAATTTCGAGTCGTTTTTATTTTGTCAATTGAATTGTAGTTTTTATGGCGTTTGTATTATATTTTTTCTTTATAGATTCCTCCGAAGCAAGTGAAGGTAATATTTTCAGAATTACAATTTTTTTTTAGTGTGCGACTTTATAAAACCAACAAGTCACTTCATGGATTAACTTGAAGCTTTGCATAATTATTTTGAGTGTTCCATTATGTGTTATGCAGTTTATTAACTTGTGAACATTTGTAAAGTTGAACTGTTTTTGAATCTATGAGTAATTGTAAAATCAAGACGTTTTACTCTTATGGCGATAATTTATGCCTTGGAGTATTGGTCCGTGGATAGCTTTGAACTTTTACAGCAATTACCTACATATATTAAAGATGTGTACCGCCTAGTTTTGGCTTGTTTCATTAATTTGTGTGAAATACTGTTTTGAAATTTGTACAATAATTTTTTGAAGTTGGTCAACATTTCAACTTGATAATGGTTTTACAAGAGAGCGTGTTTTTGTGCAGTTCACGATGCAGTTGTTAAATTTGCTTTTTCATTTTCAGCTTGGGTAATTTACTGATAATGACAAGTTATGATATTCTGTTTTTAAGCGTCTTTAGCAGGACAGGTTGGAAATGGAGAACAAGATATTACTACTACCACACGACCTGCAACTACCACTCTATCCGTAACTACTACAGAACCCACGACCACTACACAATCCGAAACTACTACACAATCCGTAATAAATACCCAAAATGCAACAAGTACACAACCAATAATCACTAATGTATCTGTAATAAATACACAATCGGCAACTACTAAACCTGATGTACAAACTAAAACCACAACTGTATCCAAAGCTACCACTGACACAATAACTGCTACTGACCAAATAACTACACCCGAATCCGTAACTACAACTGAGTCAATAACTACAACTGAATCTGTAACTACAACTGACCCGGCTACTCAACTTGTAACTACTATTGAACCTGCGACTACTACGGAGCCGGTAACTACAGCTGGAGCTGCAACTACTACTGAAGCTGCAACTACTACTGAAGCTGCAACTACTACTGAGCCTGCAACTACAACTGAACCTACAATTACTACAACCGAACCAGCAACTACAACCGAACCCGAACCAGCAACTACAACCGAACCTGCAACTACAACTGAGTCAATAACTACAACTGAACCTGTAACTACTACTGACCCGGCTACCCAACTTGTAACTACTATTGAACCCGCAATTGCTACAGAACCGGTAACTACAACTGAAGCTGCAACTACTACTGGACCTGCAACTACAACTGAACCTGCAACTACTACTGAATCTGTAACTACCACTCAACCTGCAACTACAACTGAACCTGTAACTACTGAACCTGTAACTATTACTGACCCGGCTACTCAACGTTTGACTACAACTGAAGCTGTAACTACTACGGAACCGGTAACTACAACTGGGCCTGTAACTACTACTGAGCCTGCAACTACAACTGAACCTGTAACTACTGGTGAACCTGCAATTACAACTGAAGCTGCAACTACTACTGAACCTGTAACTACTGGTGAACCTGCAATTACAACTGAAGCTGCAACTACTACTGAATTTGTAACTGAACCTGCAACTACAACTGAACCTGCAACTACAACTGCACCTGTAACTACAACTGAACCTGCAACTACGACTGAACATGTGACTACAACTGAACCTTTATCTACAACTGAACCTGCAACTACTAATGAATTTGTAACTACAGCTAGACCTGTAACTACTAATGACCCGGCTACTGAACTTGCAACTACTATGGAAACTACAGCTACTATTGAGTCAATAACTACACCTGAACTTTTAACTACAATTGCACCTGTAACTACTACTGAGTCAATAACTACCACTGAACCTACAACTTATTATAGGGGTGTGTTTTATGTTTATTTGGGGCTAATACAAAAATTCAAAATTACTTAAACAAATTTAGCACTTTGTTGATTTTAAACACTTTTGCCTTTATACCGGTATGTTTTATTTCCATTTAAGGCTTATAAAAATGTCAAAATTTCTAAAACAAAATTAGCACTTTGTTGAAACTATACACTTTTGCAATTAGAAAATAATTAAATTTGGTATTCAATAAATAGCCCTTTAATTTGTTATCCGTATTAAAAATCAGTTTACTTGGTGTTTTTTTCAGGTTTTGCTTTTACCCAGGCACGTTACATGGTGTATGAAGGTGAAGGTTATCCAAGATTGGTTTGTTCTTTGGATTTAGTTACTCAGTATATGGATGTTACTGTTGAAATCAAGACGGACAGTACGAATATTGGAATGGCTGATTTAAAAACTGACAAAGTTACCAGCTTTAAAGAAAATATCGTTGTAACAATTAAACGAAATGGAAATGACGTCGATATTAGCGTCATGTTTGAAAATTATACATGTGCAGATAGTGGTTTGTACAGTTGTACGGCTAGTCATGATGGTTTTGACACGGTTACTACACTGACCGAACTGGTAATAGAAGGTAAATGATGTGATGACGATCGAGACACGCGAGATTATAGAAGCTAAACCCCTTTGATTAAGGGTTGATCTCAAATTTTATTTCGATACGTGATTGCAAAAAATCTATACCATTAAATTTAAGTTTTTAAATAGCAAGCGGAAGTCAGTCTGTTTACTAATTTGGGTGTGTTTTGGGGGGTTGGAGAGAGAGAGAGAGAGAGAGAGAGAGAGAGAGAGAGAGCTTGAGCTTTGTGTGCAAAATATTAAATGTGGATACACCACAAAGCAAATCGACAACATTTTTACCCTAAACAAAGATCTCTAATGATTATTTGTGAATTTATAAAAACTTACATTTAACTCAGGCGTATAATTATATTGTCTTCAGCTGTGTCCATTGGTCCGTTTCATTTCTCAGCAATTATTCTTGGATTGTTCAAATATTGGCAACAAGTTTTCATTTAGTAGTACGCTGTAATATTTTTTTGCGATTGAAATTTTCTCCCTTATGAAAGCCTGTACTACACCATACTGCGCGTTTGATTAGTTCTAATCTCGGGACATTGCTTCAGGAATATGGTACTACACAGGACAGGGTTCTTGGCATACTCCTGGCAGTGTTTCGTTTGATTAGAGCTAATCCAACTACTCACTGCTGTAAACAAAGCAAATTCTTGTTCTAAATTATCACTGGTCAATAGTCCGATTAACAACCAATAGCTTACTGCGTAACAATACAAAACAGAGCTCAAAATTGGACTAAATATGTTTACATAACGTTACGTCATGACTCACGATTTTATTATGCCCAATTAACCAGTGCAAAGCAGAATATTGCAGAAAAACTAATTGTGTGACAAACAAGGCTATCAACTGTCAACACGATTTTGTAAACAATATCGTTTTGAGACAAACAACACTTTCATCGTTTTTAATACCTTAAATCACTGTCCAAAGTTTTAGGGAAGACCCCTGATTAAACGAAGGGCTGTCATGTTGCTGTGCTTTTGGATAGATGTGATTGAACGGGAAGAATAGACACACTCCCTCAAAAGCGCAAGTATCAGTAGCTAATCCAGCAATGGTCAGAGAGGGATTTCTCGGGCCATTGCTTCAGGAATATGGGTTCGTGGCTGAATGTATCAAATCATAATGGTTAACACTTAACTGATTAACGGGTATATTAGATTAAGGATATCACTCGTATAACAAAATACCACTAACATAGATGATTGGAAGAAATAAAGTAACGTAATGAACACATAGGCCTAATCTTGGTTAAATGTCTTATGTTAAAGGCTATGTTTTAAGTCCTGATGCGTCGTTTGCATTTTTCGCTAAAATATCTAATTTCTCAACGCTTAATCAACGCTACGGATAAGAACAGTGGGACGTTAAACCCCATTTCATTTCGTTTCATTTAATCCACGCTAGTAGGTACTCAGATTGATTATTTTAACATTTGATCAAGAAAACAAAATCATACCAACGCTAGATAATGTCCCGGCTAGGATTCAATCAGATTTAAAAAGGCCTATCAATAGATTTTCACAGATAACAAAATGTCGGTGGGCTTGTTGTGTAGCGAGCAGCAAAGATTGACGAAATTTCAATATCACATTTCTTTGTAAATATTGAACGGAATTGAACCATTTATGGACTAGTATTCATATTAGAGATTCATCTTCCACAATGTTGTAGCGCTAAAATGACGCATCTTGACTTTAACCGTTCAATTAACTCATTTTCTTTGTTCATGTTTTAGTTCGACCAAGATTAGAAATACCAAGATATTTACTAGAGGGGGTACAATCTCAGACATTTTCTTGCAACAGTAAAGCAGGTAGTCAAGTCAGTTGGTCAATAGAGTTTAATACTGGTACAACTATTTCGCCATACAATGTTAACCATCAAACAGTGGAAACATCAGAGGGATTTCAATGTATTCATCAACGGTCATCATTTACTAAAACATTTGATATTGGTTTAAATGACACAACTTTATGTTGTAATGTGAAATATGAAAACCAAACTCAGTTACAAGCCTGTGAACAGCTATACATTTTAGAAAGTAAGTCCGTCTTTAATCGTTTATATCACATTTTCATCAAATATTTGTACTGTGTACACTTACCGTTATTGGTATTCTTCTGCTGATAAAAGGACTATCGACTCTTATGGACACATTATGCTCTCTCCCTTATGATTTATACATGTTTTAGTTAAAATATCTTTGCTGTGTTGGCCTACACGTAATAATTGGAATTCTTCTGGTATGCAAGCACCCCGGCTGTTATAGGCGTATAACGTATTTACGTGTTTTATTTTTAAAAAGATGCATTGTGAAAGATCTAAATCTGTTTATTGCAGGTCTATATTCTGGCTTCAAATGTTAGAAAAAGTATTATTTAGACATGTTCACATGCAAAGCCCATAATCAACTTTTTAAAACATCGGATGACCGGTGCATTAAAAGGATTAAAACATCCGCACAATTAATGATTTAACGTTAAAATGGATAGTCGAGCCTGTGTGTATTATCGTGGCAATGGTACTTGACAATCGAGACTATTTTAAGTAAAACTTCAAACACTCAGAATAAAGTAATTAGACTGACATTTTCTATATATATTTATATTTCATTGTCTATTTTTGAACTATATTATTATAGCAAAAACGACCAGCTCTTTGTCTAAATCTTACATAAAACATCCATGGCCCGTGAGAACGGGGAGGGGGAAGGTGGTATTCCGAGTAAGGTTTTTAAAAATATTTGTTGATATATTAATAAAAATATACTATTACTTGATCTTAAAGTAGAAGAAATTCGGCGAATGTGTGTACCTAGTGGCGTGGGTAGGATTAAAATCGGATTCAGTTAGTTCACTTTTTTTTGGAAAAATTGTTGAATTTAAAATTATAAGCCACCTACCCGGACAATCACGGTCCGTCCTCGTTCTGTTTGAGGCTCTCATTACCGTCAAGGTAATCGGGGCCTAGTACGGGCCTGTAGAACTTTACAATGATGGTGAGCGCGCCAGTGTCGCGCTCTGCCGCCAGTGATCATGTATGTGATTATCGATCGCTCATGTAGGCTGGTATCCGATCATTAGGACCGAAACTGAAAGAGAAGCGTTTACTTTGTTTCGTTAGGCGCTAAAAATCGCTATGTCATTCAATGTTTGCCAATTGCGGATCTTTTTGAAAAGCTCATCCGTTCGGTCAGGCAATTTTAAGTATGGAAAATGGCTTGTCTCGTAATGTTAATTTTGTTAAGGCTATTGATGAGTTAGCGTCCAAGTGTGCACGAAAAGTTCCGTTTGAAATCAGTTCAACGAATAGTTTATGTGATTAAAAAATTCATGTTTGATATTTTGGCGTCTGGTCACGGTTTTTGTTTTTTCTATTTCTTTGCCTGCTTAAAATTTGCTGCCAGACTCTGTGTTTTAGCAATGTGACCTACAGTTATCCCAGATACACGCCCAAATGACGCTAGAGACCTTGTATCTTTTAAAAAATTTCGACCCTCCTTTGACGATCTGTTTGTCCCAGGGCCCTGAGAGCCCTGTCACGGGCCCTGAATACATCTCAAACAATAGTAAAAAGACATTTGCATCAGAGGATTTTTTTTCCCACTCTAGTGGAACTTAGTTTTCCGTTCTTATTTCACACACCAAAAAGCAAAAAATGTAATTGACCAATATTTACTGAATTAAATAATCAACATCAATAATAATTCATATCTATTTCAGGTGACTATTGTAAAGATAAGCGGTTTGGTTTTAAAGATTATCCGTATGATGATTGTTTTCTTCGTGTTTTCTGTCTCTCTGGAACTCAATTAGTTGATAATGAATGTGAAGAACAAAATAAATGTTTTAATAAAGAAACACAGTTATGTGATATCGTTCCACGTAAGTATTCTTTGGAGAATATAAGTTTCCACCCAGCTGTCTGTCAGCATAACAGTTTTCCGAAATTTTCTTCGTAATACTCAAGTCATGGTCGACGCACTTTTCGGAAAACACCGGTCCAAGGCGTGTTGATTAAGTGAATTGAGTTGTTCATAAATATATAGTGATTAATATTTAATATGTGCCATGGATGGGATTCTCCTCTAAGAGAAAAATGATACCTAGTATTGGAGTGGGGAGGGGGCAGACTGAAGTTTGTAAAAAATAAAATCGTCATTTTGACATCATTAATCCATGACTATTTTAGGTTTCTAAATTATAAGTTCATTAGAAAATGATGGAGAATTATATCTGAGCAATAAGCTAAATATATTAATTGAGGTGACAATATTATAATACTGTTTCTATTGATTTAGCTAAAACTAATTACATTTTCTGATTTCAGCCCAAGGTGTTGGAGATCCATACTCATGTTCACTAAAACCAGATGGATTCTATATACCAATTAAAGATAAATGTCGACAATACGCTGTATGTCAATCGAAACTAAAGTTTAATCTTCATTGTGGTTTCGGGGAATATTTTACAAATAACCAAACATCCCATTGTTCTACAGACTTATCAAAAGCTTCAGAACCTTGTTTGTAATCATCAATTTTATTATTATTATTATTATTATTATTATTATTTAATGAGAGAGAGATAATGCAGAGTGCAATATCTTGTTCGTGACGTGATAGCTTTCTTTTGTAATCAATTTTTGTATTATTAAATGCTTCAAATCATTCTTCATGCGATGAGTTGTTGTGTCGGGTTCAGTATATTATTAATTCCCTGGGATCTATTTATCAAATGTCTTACCTCATCAGAGGTATCTGCTTAGAATAGTCTTAAAACTGTTAGAATTAGTGTCAACACTGTACAAATTTAGTTACTACTAGAGCAACGGTCAAGCTGTAAAGGACTGGCATAACTTTTATCAAGACAAAAAATTTATTTGCAATACGTATTTTAAACTATATTTACATGTATCTATTTAATGTGTACATTTTCCCACGTGCAATTAATTGTTACTTAGGTCTGGAAATGGCTCAGCGCTAGTCTGTTTTGGACGCAATGGATACAACATCTTCATAAAAATATGATTTATTTTAACAGGCGTAACCTTTACTATAAACACTCCATTCCCCTATTCAGAACAAGCACCAAGGAAAACAAACCCATCTTTGTACATTATGTAGTTTATTGTTGTTTAAAGTATTATATGTATATGTGTATATTTAAACTTTATAAGTTTTTAAACCAAAATTTGATAATTTGTGATCGCTTTCAATTAATAGATAAAAGTATATATAGATACATAAGAGTACTTTTATACTTTGAAATAATAACTTTCACGTCTTATAATATCTATAGGTCACAGTGTTTGTGAGCAATGCACGTGCTGGTATTTAAGAGTTTTGTTTGACAGTAGCACTATCCCTGTCACTTAGTCGGAGCAGAACTGTCATTAAAGTTCTTGGAACCCAGTGTAGATAAGCTGACATGCGACAATTAGGGTTAACGTCATTTCGGGACTAATATAATGATATTGTTCAATTTTATTTTAATAAACAGTGAGTAGAGGAAAAGGGAGGAACCGAAGAAAACACACGGGGATAGGCTGACGACCCTATTACTGGTCACGTACATGATGGGAATCGAAACCACGCCATCGATTCAATGACAGACCTTGTGATGAACGCGCACGCGTTATGCGACAAATCAACCCCCTGGGATAAGTACAGAAATAGAAAAGTGCATATTCAGTGGTGTAAAAAGAGTATAAAATAGATTTCATCGTGTTATTGATTAATAGTTAAAGAATTAACTAACCAGTAGTGTGAAATTTTCAACTGTAACATTATGTGCCAATCTTCTCGGCACCCCAACCTTACCTTGTAATGTAGGGGCGTGTCCAGGAATTTTAGCAGGGGAGGGTCCGAGTGGACAACATAAAGGACCGGGATATTATCCGCGATTTGATCAAATCGGATGCCCTGATACATATTTCCCCATTTAGGTTCATACGGATAAGGATTAAATTGTAGTGGTGTCAAAACGTTCGTTTGTTCGATGTTATTTAGATGAATGTAGTAGAAAATAAATTCCCTGCTCAAGCAAACCCACCACCCCACCCCTGCATACACACACATACACACACACACACTAACATTCGGGCAGGCCGGTTATAATGTGATAACGTGAGAGAAAATACAATTAAAATAGCTAGGCCCTAATCTCTAACTCAGTATCATCCACAATTTTCGACATTGAAAACACGAATTATTTGTCAATTTGAATCAACATTGATGTTGTGATCTTACCGGGAAAAGATGAGCTTCTGATATCCAATTTGACAAAATAAACATTTTACCATTGGTACACGACCATAATGCGTTTCAGCGCCAGTTGCAACAAGGGACTCGAAGGACGAGGCTAGACATATTCCACAGCTAGATCTATTTGTTAAGGCCAAGGTCACTAGATGTAAATAAGGTTAGGCCAACGTGATTGTTGGCGAGATTGTAGGTTAGGTTTAGGGTAAACGTTAGGCGTAGGTCCAGGATTAGGGTATGGGTTGGGATTAGCGCTAGCCCTGTTTACATCCCGTGACCTTTGACCAAACTTGAAGATGACCTTATCAAATACATGTAGATCTAACCATATTCCACAAGTCATGTCAATCGGTGGCGCAATATTCTTATCTGAAGAGCCAATCTCCCAAACGAGTTGTCTTCCCTTATATATACTGGATCGACAGCGAGACGTATGTGGAGAATGCTGGAGAGCATGTGCAATGGGTGTCCACTGGAATAACCAGAAGCTAGAGATTGCGATTCGATTGAGACTTCCAGCGTATTTCGCCGAACATAATTAACGGAAACGATTAAATTTTAATGTAGATCAGTTTATATACATTCATATTACATTATTATATGCGTTGCGACCCATTTGTGTCAATTTCTAGGTCCCAATATGAGCGATTTAGCTCCTTTAATAAAATATTGTTTTTGGAAAGGTTTTACTTTCTATCTAGTCGGGAAAATAAAGTGCCCGAAATCCCATGTTTCATCAATGTTAGGATAGACTTTGTGGGCGAATAAAACCCTTACGGGTGAGATTGCGTATAATTTAATTCTGCAAAATACCGATGGCTGCTGAAAAGTTTTACACCATTCATAGTTTTATTACTCTTGTTTATTAATCCCATTAATGGGATTTCAAATATTCTGTCTTTACGACAAAGCTGCTGTGGGACGTACAATAATGTGGGTATATTGTCGTCATACCTAACACAGGGCGTTTAAACTGAATGATTAAAATGATGAGTTTTACTATAAACGGGAGATAACTATTTTTATTTTAGCTGTATAAACTGTGATTCTGTTTATAAAAGAAATCATATTACAGACACAGTGAATAAATAAAATCTTAGATATTTTGATCTAACTTAAATTTCATTTCTTAAAATCCATTTTCCGTAAAATGCTTTAATAGATATTCAATTACATGCTTTGTTAATTTGGAGTTATCGTTCCTGACTTAAGACGCGTTGTCATACCAGAATGTAAAATCACACAATGTGACAAAGCCCGGATTATGTTTCATAATCAACAACAACAGCCAATGTTTACAATATGTCGTTAAATATACTGGCGTTAAGTACAAAAAATATATAGCTAAAAGCACCAGTTAATTTTGATTTGTGAGTAGGCTATATCTACCCTAAACGTCACCATAGAAAGAATTGCATGTTATATTAGAATTTACCAAAACAACTTTTAGCTACTTGTGAGATCTGCATAGAAGGAAATTTAATTAAAAACATTTAAATTGGAGATGGAATTCGACGAAGAGTAGCCGTAATCGCTACGCACCAGGTAGTTTTCCGCAAAAGGACACTACATGGCGATGCTTACCTTCGTTATCTCGGTTGCTGCAGAAAACACGACAATAAAACCTATTTCCATTGGCATGTTCAATTACAAAGCTACTAAATTTGGTTCAACGAATTTGACTTGTGTTTACATTAATCACAAAGTGATTTCAAATATTCATTTTCTTTAAGACAAAGCTGCTGTTGGGACGTACATAACGTGACAGGTGTATTTATCGCCAATACCGTGATTCGTCTTGACTCAATCACAATTATTGTGATAACTAAGACGTTCTTGTTATTTATTTATTTTTGATAATTAATCCACTAATTATTTATAGTGGATGCCAAAAATGGTACGTTTAATCCGTAGATAACGTGTGTTAATTAACGTACCTCTCCAAAGTAGTTTAAAGTAACATGACATAAATATCAACATCATTTTATAAAGGGAGTTCATGTAAAGTATTAGGCCAAATTAAAATATTCTCCTTATGGGAATTAATCAATAACTAAGATCCTTTTAGTTAGCAAATAATACCATATTTTGGTTTTATTGATTAGACATAATATCTGTATTTGAGAAAGTTCTTGTTAAAAAACTACTTATTGCTATTTTTTTTACTATACCCCAGTTATCGTTCGTGGATTTTAGGAAACACGCAGACAAATTCTGCCCACCTTATACCCTTTCCTCAGCGTTACACACAGAGCTATAGTACATGCAATTAAAGCAAAACACAACGGTTATCTGTCTAAAAATTCACAAAATATTATATTCATTTGCAATATTTTCATCGTAGAAGGATAGGATATTTTAAGGTTTAATATATTTATCGATGTAATCGGATTTCTTAATTTTCTTCCAAGGATAATGCTACTGGTTTGACACCAACATTCGGACATGTCAGAAAAGTGATAAAAAGTGAGTGAAAATATATTCAATTTAATATTTTTTTTTGTTGTTTCATCAGTTTTTCGGCAGACTTTATTGAGGAAAAAACGTTCTGGCTTCTAGTTAGCAAAATAATATGCCCTAAATCCCATGACTATTTTGTCTGTAGCCACTCTTTTTTTTTCAGGAATCGAAATTGCTTTAAATTGACTAATTGGTAAAGCATTTAAAGTCCAGCACCACTCTAGAATAGTCACCCGGCTTTATGCGCCACACTATTTTCGGCCATCATTATTATTTGTTTCATCAGTTTTTCGGGAAGTGAAATTTCTCGTGTCCTGTGAATACAAATGCACCAGTCGGATTGATTGAACATACATTATGCAAGAGCTAAATCTGCCTATTACAGGTCTTTTTTTAGGCCTGAAATGTTTTCTAAATTATTAATTAATAATTATTAATTAAGACATTAATTAACATATCCTGCAGGCCATAATCAACTCTCGATGGCATTGGATTTCTCGGCTATTTAATAGATTAGAACGGTATATTTTGATTAATTTAAAAATGGAGGAGCGAGACTGAGCTTCGAACAACCAGTACGCTGGTTGCAGTTATTGCACACATCTTGCCAAATCTTCAAAGGCTAATATCTTCGCTCGCAATGGAGTAATTAGAATGAAATTTTCAAATTATTCATTTTACATTATCTATTTTCGAACTATTGTAGCACGAATGGCTAGCTCTTTATCTAAATCTTACATAATGTACCTTTGATTGGAGTCGTTCTCGAATGGGGGGGGGGGCAGGGGTCGGTCACGGTGGCTAAGCGGGTAAGACGCTGACTCGCTAGTCTGGAAGTCATGTGTTCGATACCTGCATTGGCCGAGAAATTTCATCGAGATTTTCCGGCGCGATTCCCCCTTGTCAGTGATGCAGGACGGAGGGCCTGACAATGACAGCTTTCTAGTCGTTCGGATGGTACGAAAACCCGAGGTCCCGTGTACACATCGGCGTGAACGTAAAAGATCCCTTGATCCCTTGTCCGGGCAAAATTTCTCCCATGCACACTGTATGGCGTATGTCCGACTTCATTAGTCCTGTTCGGACCAGAACAGTATAACGTTAAAACCCATTTCATGTCATTATCATCTTTCTCGAATGAATTTATCTGTAGTGTAGTGGCTACAGGATACACAGTACATATAATCTTTGGGGGGGGGGGGGGGTGCATATGTAACCCTCTTTAAATTTTGTGCGTTTTTTTCCCGAACCGTTATTTCGCCTTTGAAAAGTTTGAAACTTATTTATTATGTAAGCTTATCCGTATAAGAATACAAATTATTTTTTTTTGTGCTATTTATTTTATTGTAGAAGTGCCTCAACAAAAACAAAAATATAATCGCATAAAATAATGCAAGAACATGTATAATGTAACAGTATAATTTCATGTTAAAGTTTTGGTATACAAAATATCTAAATTAAGTTCAATTATCTATATTTAATACATAACAACGTAATTATCACTCTCCCATCACTTCATTATTACAGTTTTTACAACGTCATAAACTGTATGCGATATCCGTGATGGTTTATAGGTCTATATAATCGCAGCATCGAGAAACTCGTCACATATAGAAAATATCGTGTCGTAAATTTTCGAGCAGACCCAACGGTTACAACACTAAATTTATTTACAATAAAAAGCAATAACAAATGTTTAAAAAAGCAACAAGTTTCAACCGGGTGATGGTTTTCGTACATTACAATAAAATTTATTTTGTTTACAAAGAAGTGGCCAGTTTGGCACTATTGAATAAATAACATCCATAAAAAAAAATTCTAAATAGTTGTTTAAATTGTATTTCATTTCATGAAACATAACAAAGAACGATTTTAAAACGCCCATAAGATCTAATTTGTTCTTGAGTATAAATTGAACCCATTTGATTAAAGGGCATATGGCTCTAATCTCCTGAAACTTAAAATAGACGAAATTGGGTCTAAAAGGCACATATTAATGTCGTATGAATGTATATAAAGTGATTTATATTCATTTTTAGAAAAAAAAATATTGAAATTCCAAATCAATTATGTTCTGTGAAATACGTGAACAGTTCAAATTAAACTTAGTCCATTTCTTAATTATTATTTTGTCATTAATAATAACTTCCGCATTTTCTTGTAGGGACGTTTGTCTTTGTTCATTACAAATGGCAGTCGAAACCATAGGGTACACGACTCGGTGTACTGATTTTAAAATGTTCATTGTGTCTTATATATAAATATTGAATATTAGGATCCCATGTTTTCACGGTAAGATAAAAGCATCACTATTGATTGAAATGGACCAATATTGAATTCAATTTCGTGTTTTTAATTTAAGCACAGACCTTGTTTCGCTCCGTTTTTTATAGTTGAAAATATCGTTTTACTTGTCTTCACTTTGTGGTGGAGGGAAACCGCTAGATATTCTAAATCAACCTGGATTTTAGCCTTGAGCAAATTTAAAAATAAGTTGGCATACTTTAGGGTTCTATAAAAAAAATTGATAGGATTTCCTGTTAATATGATAATAAGTTAAATGTGAAACCTTGAGTTAATAATATAAATATCAAACATACAAACAAACAAACAATATCAAACAATTGTTCACAAAATCGGACGGACTCTATTTTGTGTGTGTGTGTGTGTGTGTGTGGGAGGGGGGGGGGGGTATGTGGGATTTTTTTTGTTGTTGAATACAAAAATCGTTATATTTTTATGATAAAAGTTAGAAAATTAATAATGATATTCTTTTGTAGAAATTGTAAAAGTATGATTCATAGATACATTGGATAATTTACAAAATGTCAAAATGATTATTTATAAATAAATAAATAAATAAATTTATAAGTTTAAAAGTGAATCTTGCAAACTGGACTGACAATTCAATTTTCGGACTAAAAAGAACACACGATTCTAGAACATATTAAAAACCAAAAATAATATGTTAGAATTAAATATATCACAGTTTAGACAAGACCTATGTCAAATCATATTTTTATTATTTTTTAAAACAAAACTTTGGTGTAAGTCATAGCCATGAGAACCATAATTCCGACAAATATGGCGGATATATTCTTCATTGAATCTACAAAGAGAGGAGAATCAAATAAGTTAATCATGATTTAAATGAAAATGAATAAAAAAAAAATGGCAATATAAGAAATGAAACATTTTTGCCCACGATGTCAGTTTGATAGTAGAAATATGATAAAATTAATCTTTCTATACTAAACCCTTTAACTGTAGTATGCCTATTTAACACAAACCGAGGTCCACCTGAGAACTCTAACCTATAAGAAATTGGAAGATTTATGGACATTTCGTTTGTTAGCTATGGCAAGACCATTTCTTAAAGACCCTGATCGTCATAGCAAACTACAATATTGCCTTAAGTTGGATCCATGAAAGGAATTTCAGTCTAAATATGGTTAAATTCCGTTCAGCATTCAGAGAAGACAACATCTAATAAAGAATATGGTCAAAACCATCCAACACCATCTATAATTCTCGCTAATATCTTTTTAATCCGAGTGAATCAAAACTGAAAGATTATCAACCATTAACTTTTTTCCTCCAACAAATTAAATTCTAAAACATTTTTTTTTATGTATTAGAAAAATAAATAAAGACGTTTGAAGTATTTGCAGGTAAAAACTATTTCCTTTTTAGTGTAAATGGGTACTAAAATGAGTAAAAGCCACCATTCTGCCCGAACCAGTAACGTCTTATGTAAACAATGCACGCGCCATTGAACCAATGATTGACGCCTTGTGATGTGACGTCACGTGTTGAAGGCAGTCATCTTTTACAGAGATATTAGAAGACTTTCGTAATCCTGTGTGAAACAGATTGTAATGACACCATGCATAGACAATCCCAGACAAACACCACAACGACTGTTATCAAAATGATACATTCATTTCCATAAAGCAAGAACATGCTTTGCAACCAAATTATCTTTGAAAATTAATCCTATATCGTGTCCTATTCTATAATTCAAATTTCTTTTTATTATTCTTCATTACAGTAGCTGAGGTAAGCAAGAGCATAAAAAAAACGAAACGAAATTGAGATCTGTATTTTAATCAAATGTATTTGTAAATAAAATATACATAAGTGTACTAACCCGGAGCAGCACTGTCATCGTCTGTTGCAACACCAGTGACTTTTGAAATTGCTTTCTTTTGATCAGTCGAGAGATCTGCTTTCTGGGCATCAGTAATACTCTTAGCTTGAGCAGGGCTCAGATAGGCGATCTGTGTAGCTGTAAGTCCCTATAAAATAAAAACAAGCGGTTACCATGCAAGATATGTCCAGATTTTCCAAGATGGACAAAGAATAAGCTAAAAGGGCGATTTTTCGTACAATCAGGGTCAATAATCCAGATACGGTCAGACACGCGACAATATCAAAAGGAACCAAAATCTTTGGGATATAAACATATATTTAAGTTTCATCAAAATCGGATAAACAATGTGACCTCTAGAGGGTTCGCCAGCTTAAATAGTTTTTTTTCGTACAATCAGGGATCATAATCCCTGAAGTTACCGTCCGATTTTGCGCGAATATCGAAAGGAACCGAGATCTTTGGGATTTAAACACACGTTTCAAGTTTTATCAAAATCTGGTAAAAATTGTGACCTGTGCAATGTCCACAAACTAAAATTATGTGGACGAATGAAATGTGATATCAGTTAATTGTTAAAGCAGACGTTAAGAAAGTTACTACAGGCCCAAGTTATTAAAAAAGGAACAAGGTTTAATTTGACGCAAGGTTTATTAATTGCATGACCTTTTATTACCTGTATACGGTGCACAAGAGATATTTTATAGAATTTAAACATCAAGTTATAAACATCATCGGACAGATCATCTTTCACACTGATCAGCAGTGAATTTTCGCTAGGCCGCTACAATCACTGATAAGGATGACACCGATGCGACTTAATGAGCCAGAAATATTAAATGCGACAAATTAAATTCTAAAACATTTTTTTTTATGTATTGGAAAAATAAATAAAGGCGTTTGACGTATTTGTAGATAAAAATTATTTCCTATTAGTGTAAATGGGTATTAAAATGACTAAAAGGCAGCATTCCGCCCGAAGCAGTAACGTCTTATGTAAACAATGCACGCGCCATTCAGCCAACGATTGACAAACGCGTGCTGTGACGGCACGTGTTAAGGCAGTCGTCTTTGACAGAGATATTACTACTCGTAATTCTCTGTGAAACAGATTGATCATCTTTAAAGGGACAATAACCCTCTTGCTGGCTTGAAAAATCCAGAAAATAAATAATAGCTCTATCTAAGTACGAGATGTTTAAGTGTCCTACCAGTTGTGTAAATTATCCATTACATCCTATTTTACTTGTCCAGAGGGTTCGAAAATATTTTTAAATCGAAGTTTCATTTGAAAAGGTTTACGTTAGACGTTTCAAACCATTATGTTGAATTTTTCAAAATTTTTAAATAAGGTGTGTTAAGATGAAATTTGTATCATCAATTAATTGAAATAATCTAAAATAGTAGAATTTGTTGACCAGAATAAAGATTGGGACATATTATTCAGTTACAACAAGAGTGGTATTGGACCTTTAACATGGGGATAGTTTGACTTCTGACACAGCTGAGACAGTATTTACTTACACTAAGTGTGGGACCTGGTATTTTAGAGACCACGGTTGGGTCGATAGCGGATAGTTGTTGTTCAGTTAGAGTTCCAATGTCAGAAGCCGATAAACCACCTAGAAAATATCAAATATGAATTAATAAACCACATAAAAATATCAAATACTCCAGTAAAAAGCTATTGTCGATTGAAATGAACAGTAAAGTATGCAAGAATGTAACAAACCACAAAGCAAATATCATTTAATTTCAATGTAATAAATTAGTTACTATAAACAAATAACGAAACACCGAGTATTGTGAAAATACAGAAGGCGCGCATCTATCACGAATATACCCCCACCCCCTTCTCCCCCAAGTAAATATAAAGAAAAACAAACAAAACAATACATAGAATAATACATACATAAACATATCTACAGATGCTCTTCTTTATATACACTTTGGGAAATTGAGATGACGTGGTCATTTTTTTTTTTAACATATTAGACACGTCATTTTATTAGATGCGAAAATTCGGTAGGGATTAATTTATAAGAAAAAGACATGCTCACTTACCAATAACGGCACCAACTTCTTTGACAGTAGAAGAATCCCAATTTGTTACAGTATTACCGTACGATGTTTTAGCTAAGGTAGCATAAGCAGTTAGTTGATTACTGTCGCACATATCAGCTGACCCGACATCTTTCGCAGCGAATCTGGAAGCAATAAATAGTTGAAAGTGTTAACCACTGCAATAAAAAAATGAGAGAGAGAGAGAGAGAGAGAGAGAGAGAGAGGGGGGTAACATTCACTCGACACTAGTCTATCAATGTATATCTAATTATGTTATGGTCAATTAAAGACAACATTGTTAAGATATAGGAACAGACTAATACAAGCACATTTATTTATTCAATAACCGATATATGTACACGTATATACTATTATTGTCTTATCTCCAGTGTTTTCTGAAATAAAAATTAAATGAAAAAAATAACAGTTACATGGACATGCGAGAAATACCAGCAGGATCACAACAAACATACCAATATAACATGATCCAGTTCACAAAACCAGATAAAGTTTATTAGAAGACACACCGGCATACATTGATCGGTTTGGAATACATATACTAATTTTATTTTAGATTAACAATAATTTGTATGATTTTCCTACTTAACTACTGGCATAAAATCTATAATTATATGCCTACTTGTATGCATCTGCAGGAATACTACCAATGCTGGTATGATATATGCCACAAGCAAAATGACCGATGGATGATAGTTCTACACGTGTTAGTGTACTATGAGTCCTGTCACCAAACCACTTAGAAAATCCAGATGAAAGCTAAATGTAAAACAATAAACAAAGTAAAACGAAATTACAACAATTATATTTCAAATATTTTATTTGGAAGTGTATCAAGTGAAATGAATGATTTTGTCAGATTTTTATTTGTTTTTCTTTTAATGTTCAACTAACTGATCTGTTCAGCAGCATAGAATCCAAACGTCCATGACAACTCCTTCTTTCAATATTATATGATCAGCAAATATCCTTCTAAAATCTTTTATTTAAATATTTATCATACTTACTTGTGCAGTTGTCCATCCAGATATAGTACCGAGCGTAGCTAAGCTATCAACACTTAAGGTCAGGCTTGATATCTCATCAGCAGTAAGACCTAGTCCAATACTTCCCATGTCTAGTACATTATTTTCAGTCCAAGTATTTACAGCTCCCCAAGCCTTTAATGAACAAGCGGTTGCCATGCAAGATACGCCCACATTTTGCAAGAGATGGCCAGAGAACAAGCTAAGAAAGCGATTTTCCTACAATAATATATCGATAGGGTTTGTCCTCTCATGACCACATGGGAGCCACCATGAGTAAGACGTCGTCTCGCTAACCTATAGGTCCGTGTTCGATGCCTGAGTTGGCCGAGAAAGTTCATCGAGATTGTCCAGCTTGTCCCCCCACCCATATCAGTGGTACAGGACGGAGGGATTGGGAAGTAATAATGTAGTCACTAGAATGGTAAGGTTCATAAGTTAAAAACGTGATTTTTGTCCAATCAGGGGCTATGCAAATCAGATAAAAATTGTCAGGTAGTTTCGGTCTGATTTTCACGAAATTCGAACCCAATCGTAATTATGGCGTGAACGGGAACATAGTTAAACGGTTTTTAAAATAGATAAAAATTGTGACCTCTGGAGAGTCCACAAGCTAAAAACGCGATTTTAAGTACAATCATGCAGGGGCCACAATCCAGGAAGTAACGGCCCGATGTGCGTGAATATCGAAAAGAACCAAGCTATTTGGAATACAAACATATATTTTAAGTTTCATCAAAATCGGATAGAAATTGTAACCACTAGAGTGTCCACCGCATAAAACCGTGATTTTTCATACAACCAGGAGCCACAATCCATTAAGTTATTGTCCGATACATGTCAATATCGAAAGGAACCGAGATCTTGATCTTAGGGATATTTACCTATATTTCAAGTTTTATCAAAATCGGATAAAAATTGTGACTTGTACAGTGTCCACAAACAATGTGAACGGACAGACAGTGGTGACGACAATACATCCACATGAAAATGTGGGCGTATGAAAATGTTTTACAGTAGTAATGGCGGTTGTTGTATTGCTACAAGCAGTACCCTTAATTAGAGACTGCAACACCAGACTGAAGTCCTATATCTATGTTAATATGTTTAAATCAAAATATACTATTCAAAAAAAGTAGGGGATATTTGATTTTGGGGGCATAATACTAAAATATGCAAATGACTACGAAAAAAGTCACTATAGAACCTAACAGAAGAAACATTTCCAGTTACATGTGACGCCCAAACGCACCAATAGCTACCGCATGGAATGCAGGTGATGCTTGGGATCATCATGGGGGTCCAACCCAAGATTTGCACGACTCTGACTTTGAATGTTACAGTCATTGTGGCATTGAATTCCAGGGTGGAAACATCAGTTTAATTGTTTTAGTGACCAGAAAACAAATTTTGATATGCGTCGGCTTACCCAAAATGAAAGGTTACGTGCCCTTGGCATGCTACAGATCGGCACAACACAGGCGGTTGTGGCGCGGACGATGAATGTTTCTCAGTCTGTCATAAGCAGGCTATGGTCCAGATACCGTGATACACAATCTGTACAGGACAGACCACGCTCAGGTCGACCAAGGGCGACAACTCAAGCCCAGGATCGATTTATCCGTGCCTTGGCCTTGAGAAATCGTGTCATCACAGCAAATCAGATCAGCGCTCGTCTTCAAACAGACACTGGTGTGAGAGTGAGTGGCCAGACGATTCGGAATCGACTGCATAGTGGTCACCTTCGCGTCCGACGTCCTCGCGTGATCCCTTGTTTGAGAGATCATCACATTCAGGCAAGACGTCGTTGGTGTAGGGATCGTCAACACTGGGATAATCGACGCTGGAGCAAAGTGATGTTTTCAGATGAGTCAAGGTTCACTGTTGACTTTTTGGACAGACGTAGGAGGGTGTGGCGTCGTCGAAACGAGCGCTTCCAAGACGTTAACGTCATCAGACATGATCGATTTGGGGGTGGTTCTGTTATGGTGTGGGGAGGCATCACTGTTGCTGGAAGAACGGCTTTACATGTTGTTGCAGGGCGTGTTACAGGCCAGTACTACCGGGACAACATCTTGGCAGTCCATGTTGTGCCGTTCGCACGACGTCATGGCCGCCGTTTCATCTTCCAGGATGACAACGCAAGATGTCACAGGGCCAGGATCGTTACAGGTTACCTCCAACAACAGAACATCACCACATTACCTTGGTCAGCACTGAGTCCCGACCTCTCCCCCATCGGGCATGTCTGGGACATGCTTGGACAGAGGTTACGTCAACGTCAACAACGTCCTGCCAATGTCCAAGAACTTGCTGCTGCGTTGCAACAGGAATGGGACAATCTGGACCAAAATGACCTTAGACGTCTCATTAGGAGTATGCCACGTCGGATCAATGGTTGTTTGGCAAACAGAGGAGGATTTACCCGTTACTGACTTGGTTGTGATGATGTGGTAACTTTGCTGTTTGACCCCGGGTATCATTTTACCCTTATAATGGTCAGTCTGTGCCTTACTTAGTCTAACGATCATTTGGAATAAATCGATGAATGTGAACTTCATTTCATTTTGTCATTTGTTTCTTCGTCAGTTTCATTAGGTAGTTTAAACATATTTTATTGACAAATATCAAAAGGATTGAGCACAAGTTTCAAAAACTTAGAAAAGCCCTTTCCATACATAGAAATGATAGACATTATTTAATACTAACAAGATTTCGAAATAGTATATACAATAATAAATAATTTATAAGTAATATAAGTAAAGTCAGATGAATTATATCTCAAAGCTCTATATAAAATAAGTGAAGAGGTGATAAAGAGAATATAAAATTATATTTAAAACATTGAAAAATAAAGTTTAATAAATGGGATATAAATGAACTGATGCATGTATAAAATGATAAAAAGAAATAATAATAAAAAATAAAAAAAATGGGGGGTGGGGGGTGCGGGAAAAAAAAAAAAAAAAAAAAAAAAAAAAAAAAAAAAAAAAAAAAAAAAAAAAAGTTATCCACCAAAAAAGCTAAAGCTAATAATTTATTCTAAGATGTAACTACTAACAATAACTTTTATTTAAATTTAAATCGTTTTGAAAGTTTGATATATTTGTGAACTTCAAGGAAAAGGTTTGTATTCATCTCAATTGACAATTCTGAATTGCCGCACAATAGGATATCTATATTTATCACAGAATAACTTGACAATGTATTTAATAGTTCAGCACGAATTACATCATATAAGTGACATTGCAGGAAATAGTGTTCGGCATTTTCTATAAATTTGCCACAAGAACATGTGGGATCATTCACAACGTTTATTTCATACAAATCATTTTGCAACGAACTACACCCATGCCGTATTCTAGTGTGAATAATATTTTCATGTCTATTACCTTTACAGTAGTAGATTGGCGCTTTATGTATTAAGGAACGTAATTTTTGTTTGTATAGATATTTGAAGGATTTAAGAGTGGTTGATTGCTTTATGGGGTCCTCTAATAATTCCCAATCTCGAATTGTTGTGGGGAAGTACGAAGTTTGGTGTAATGCTGTTCTACAATAAGGATATCTATATTCGCTAATGTTTCTTAAATTGTATTTTTGTGGTGTTTGTTGATAATATTCTAGAATGTCAAATAAGTATGCTGGGTTTCTCTGATTTTTAATTTGAAAAAATGTGGTTAGTCGCTTTTGTGTACGTCTGTCTGACAATTTATTCCATCCGGTTTCAAAATAAAGCGCTTCACGAGAACAAGTTTTAGTTAGTCCAGTCACAATCCTGGCAGCTTCTAGCTGTACCTTTTCAAGTTTTTCGGTATTGGAAACGTTACACCCATCCCACACTTCACATGCGTATTCCAATTTTGGCCTTATGAATATCAAATATACGTTATTTAGAGTTTGTCTATTAAAGGTGAATTTTAGTTTACGCAAAATATTTAATAATTTTGAGGTGGACGAGATAATAGTTTCTATATGGATGGTCCATTTGGCGTCATTTGAAAGGGTAATGCCCAAGTGTTTGTGACATTTAACCACTTCAAGTGCTTGATTATCGAATATCAGACTCGGATAATTTTCTGTTTTTTTGGAGCTAAATAAAATAGCTTTTGTTTTGTTTGGATTAAAGTTTATAAGCCAATTATTCGCCCAAATGTTGAGATTCGTCAGATCGTAGTTTAGGGACTGTTCTATCTCTGAAACTGACTGTTTGCTACACCCAAGTGCCGTGTCGTCTGCAAATAATCTAGCCACATTATGGAGTACATCTTGTACATCATTGATGTAAGTCAAAAACAAAAAGGGGCCCAAAACTGATCCCTGGGGAACTCCTGATTGAAGAGTAATTTCTGATGACACAGAGCCATTTACGAATACCCGTTGAGTCCGGTCTTGGACATAACTAGACAACCACGTAATTAGCATGCCTGAAACCCCATATTGACTTAATTTGTGAATCAAACCAGGTAAATATACGCGGTCAAACGCTTTAGATATATCGCAAAAAACATAGCAGGAATATAGTTGCTTATCTATTGCAGATGAGATATCATGATACACTTCTAAAAGTTGATGAACAGTAGAGTAGTTCGGTCGAAACCCTGATTGGTATTTGTACAAGAGATTGTTTTCATGAAAATAGTTAAACAGGTGTTTGAAAACTACCTTTTCTAATAATTTGCTCAAAGAACTTAATAGGCTTATAGGTCGGTAGTTTGAAACTAGAGAGCTGTCTCCTTTTTTATAGAAAGGTAGGACATTTGCTTTTTTCCAAATTGTTGGAAAAACGCCTGATTCTAGTGATTTGTTAAATATATATTTTAATGGTACACATATTGAGGTTTTGGTATATTTTAGTAACTTGTTACTAATATTATCAAATCCATTGGCTTTTTTCAATTTCAGTGTACTTATAAGATCTGCGATTTCCTTTTCTTCGACTAAAGGAATATCAAGTTGACAATTTGTTCGCTTATTGAATTTTGGTAATTCTCCTTGCTGAGTGTTATTTGAAATTGATCCGAAATAGTTGTTAAGTAATTCAGCTTTATCAAAATTTGAATGAGCAATTCTTCCATTGGGGTCTAAAAGTGGAGGAATATCATTTGATACATTTTGGCCTAATACTTTCCTTAAATTATTCCAGTAATTCTGGCTATTTGTATCGTTAGAATTCAAGAAATTTGTGATTTCTTCTTTGTATTTTGTTTTTAACGCTTTTTTAAAATTATTTACTTTATTTCTTTGAACTTTGTATTTTCTTAAATCGCATTCATGTTGTGTTTTCAAAGCTTTTTTGTGTAACCTGTTTCTGATTCTTATCGCTCTACGTATTTCTGTATTGAACCACGGTTTGTCAGTTAGTCTTATAGTTATTGATTTCTTTGGTATGCACAATGTAATATAGCTATTTAAAATTTCATAAAATTTTGAACATACTAAGTTAATATCAGAATTTGCAAAGGTACTCTCCCAATCGTGTTCTTTGATAAGAGTATTTAACCTATTATAATTACCATCCTTATATACAAATATCTCCCGTTTAAAATTCCTGGGACTTGAAACTAGAAAATCTAATAATGCATAAACACCCTTATGATCGGATATGTCAGGAGTGACATTAATCGTTTCACTGGAACTAATCTGAATTTCATCATTTACTAAAATTACGTCTAATAAGGTTGACGACGTCCCAGTAACGCGTGTAGGTTCATCAATAACATTTCTGAGATTATTTAAAGATAAAATATCCCGTAGCTTGCAGCGTTGTGCTAGCAAGTCATCATTTAGATCACCTAAAATTACAACCTTAAGCGTGGTTTGATAGGCTAGTTCAATGGATCTTTCGAACAATGACCAGAATTCAATTGTGCTGTTTGGCGGGCGGTAAAATAAGGCAACAAGTAATACGGTGTTTGGAAATTTGCATTCCACCCAAATACTCTCTATACCTGTAACCTCAAGATCATCTCGCCGTTTGCAATAAATGGTTTTATTAACATATAATAATAATCCGCCACCATGCGACGTCCGATCCTTCCGGTATGGAGAATGGTAACCGTCCCATTTTAGAGATGAATCTAACACATAGTTATCCAGATGAGTCTCAGTGAAACTACAAATATGGTAATCATTGACATCGTTGTATATTGTTTCAAGTTTGTGTCTTATACTACGTGCATTTAAGTGATAGACTGATAGGTTTTCATTTGAATCGTGATTTGAAGGTCCAGGATTTTTATGAACGTCTCCTGATCTTAGAACTAATAAGGCTAAAACAGTACTTAGCAGACAAAAATTATCAAGTTCACATAAAACTATTGGAGATATTATTCGACATTGCCATTTCTCAGATGCCTCGTGCTTTACTGTGTAGTAAATGTCAACTATTACAGTAGCAATGAAAATATAATGAGTGTTGCACTTGCGCCAGTATTGCACGAGGGGACTGAGAAATCATCAAACAGTTAGATCTTAAATATTTAGTGGTTAGTTTTGGTGGATATAGAGACATGAGAACATGATGTAAATAACTAGTAAACAAATAAAACATACATACAGACAAAAACAGTGAATTATTTACAGTTAAAGCAATAGTATAATACATAAACATTGAATGTTTCGGTCATAGTTAAGTTAATATAACAATATCGTACGATGATATCTAAAGCAGGCAATTTTGACAAAAAATGAAGATGAAGGTTAAAGTGATAATACTTAGAGGGTGGTCAGTTTAACAATCCGATATGCAATTTTGATGCAAGACTGAGTTCCCATAATTGACAATTATTTAGATAATTGGCTGTTTATATTTCAGTAATTTAAATGGAATAAAAAACGAAATCAAAAGTTTAAACTGAGATGATAACCCAATTAGTTAATATTTGAATGGAACTTTTAAGTAGATAATTGAGAACTTTTAAAAGATACGCCCATAAATAATGTGGGCATAGTTTTATACATTCGATTTTTTTTATTATCATAATTAGTTATATAATAATATAAATGTATAACTACATGTAACTATGTATTATAAACTAAACAGTGGTCTAAGCTAATATTACTCTGTAATAGTTAGACAATAGGGAACCAACAAGTAAAATACATGTACATGACTTTACTTTACAGAAAGATTTTGTCATTGTTTTAAAAATCTAAGCAAACTTATTATTACATGAAGGATAATTGGGGCAATGGTGAATGCATGAAACGATTTGAGGTACTATCCAGTTGGTCATCAACTTAAAGATACATTATGGGCGATTAGATAAAGAGCTGGCATATCTCACTATAATAGTTAAAAACTAGATAATGTAAATGGAATTCGATTATCCATTTCATGATTAAATCATGAATGAAAGCTGAGCAGCAAATCGGATCCTACTCCAGTAAATATCGCAGGCTAGCGATGACATCGAGAGTTGATTATGGTCTGAATAAGTTTTAATTAATGTCTTAATTAATAATTTCAGGCCTAAAAAAGACCTGCAATACGCAGATTCAGCTCTTGCAATGGATGTTTAAATATAATTAAATACGTATATATATTTATGCATTTGTAGACATTAAGAAAAACAGGAAAAATCAGTACACAATAAGGTACAGTAGTTTGGGAATGATATTGATGAATGAAATTGGTTCAAAAATATAAAGATACTGTCAGGCATCATTATTTCTTTTTATCAGGCTGTGGGGTCGAGGCAAACCCGCCAAAATCTCGTAAGGATTGTTGTTTTAATGGCCCAACTCTGTTATCATCGTCTATACAGTCGGAAGATGTGTTGATTGCAGAATGTGATAAAGTAGCTTCGTCGTAGTTAAACAAAGACTTATTAGCTTGTGAATTTACTCTGTTTGTTGATGTATGAAAGTTATCGAAGTCCTGCTCACAGGTTATGACAATATTTCGGTCGTCTGCTAGAGGTCGTATGTAAACTCGACCATCATACGTCCAACAGTTTTTAATTAGCTTTGATTTAAACATATCACGACATCTTTTGTAGAGTGCAGCGCGTTTACGAGTGAGGGCTTCATTGATAAAGATCTTGTGAATCTGGGTGAGGTTTCTCTGTTTTAAGTTGCGTTTAGAACCATATATCTTTGCCCTGTCTCTATAACTATTGAAACGTACTATTATATCACGGCCCTTTTCTCTGCGTTTGGCACCAACCCGGTGAGTTCGGCCAATTTGACTTAGTGTGAGTTTAGCCTGTTTTTCAGGAAGTATGTCATTGTTAATAATATTTAAAACTATATTATCAGTGTTTTCTTCAGGTGTTTCGGGGATGCCACTAAATTTTAGGCATGTTCGCCTAGAATACTGTTCTAAGTCATCGACTCGGTTCTCTAAATCATCTATACGATTGCGTAGAGGGTCTGTTAATGTTGGATGAATTATTTTTATAATGTGGTCCATGATCAAATCTCGTTTGAATAATTCTCCAACGAATGACTTTAAGGATGATTCATTCGAAAGAACATCATCTAAAAACTCAGAAATGCTATGGGAACTGGCACTCGAATCATGATTTCCGCGTTTACGTTTTATGGATACAGACCGACCTCTAAGATTGGATACAACCGGTTCTTTCACTTTAGGCATGTTTGGTGTTTTAGTGTAAGGTTGAACGAATCTGGCTGTTACAAAATCTACTCACAACAATCTCACACAACTGAGTATATGTCAACCGAGGAAAATATCTACACTTGTAAACATCAAATATTTTAAAATCGGCTCTACATAATGTTAATCTAATTTCACAGAACACTTCGTCTTCATACTTATCTAAGCTATGCAGTTTTTAGAACCATAATTTAAAGTATACCACTCATGATTTATAATAACTTGCTATGACCAGGTACACGTCTAACTTCTGTCGGCCATCTTGAATTAGGTGACTTTAATAACACTTAAAAATCAAATATCCCCTACTTTTTTTGAATAGTATATATGGTCGGTAACATACGTTACCGTGAGTTACATTAATCATACAACCTTAAACGAATGACCAGAAGTAAACTGTAAAATCATTTCTTCAGCAATGTGAAGTATATACACAGTTGGCCAAAACAAAATATCTGATGGATTTGTATAGTGTTTGTGGTTATAAGGAACCAATACGCGGTAGGGTTATAAATTGTATGTATTCCGTAATAGAAACATTAACTTGAAAGAAGGTATTACTTACAGCTTTAGCTTTAGTGACTAAAGCAGCTTTTTGTGTGTCAGACCAGTCGTTGACTTCACCAAGATGACTGGCGCAGTCTGAGAAATCCGTGTCGGACAGACCATTGATGTGACTTGCTGTTAAAGCGCTAGCTAAATTTCCCATCATCTTGATATCGTTACACGTTACGGTCCCTGTAAGTAAATAACATATATACATTATATCGTCGATGCGTAATCAAAAAGTCGTATCCGAGTTTTGCCAAATTTTCGTACAAAAGAGTCACGTTAAAAAATGTCATATTTTTTTTTATAGATGTTCTCAAATATTTCTACAACGAAAATGTGCGTGCAACCGTTTAATCATAATATAGTTATCAGCACATATTGGGACTAAACATCCAGGACTGCCATTTAGTTATTTATAGTTTTATACAATAAAGAAGTAATTTGAAAGTAGATCCATGCACTATTATATAAGAGACAAATCTATTGCAGGTCTTTCTTTTGGCTTCAAACTTTAAATAAACTATTATTTAGAGATTTATTCACATGATAAGCCTTTAATGAACTCGCTAAATCATCGGATGACCATTTAAAAGGTTGTTGGGTACAGTTGCTGCGACAATAAATGAGGTGTGCTGCATTTTCAAACAGTCATAACTTCGTCCATAATAAAGTAATTTGAATACAATTTTCAATATATTCATTTTTCATTATCTATAATGGCAGGAGCGGTCAATTCTTTATCTAAATCTTACAAAATGCATCTTTAATCTCTTGAATTTTATACATACCACACAGTAGAGACCCAACACTAATTTTAACATACCTAATTCAGTACAAAAATATTTTCTTCTGTTTGAAATGGTCTTATAATCCCCATTGGGGGGGGGGGGGTGGCCGAATGGTTAGCACGCGCGCGTTATATCATACGGTCTGTCATTGAGTCAACTGGCGGGGTTTCGATTCCCCGGTTGTACGTGGCAAGGAGTAGAGTCGCCTGTCCAACCTCGTGGGTTTTCTCCGGGTCCTCCGGTTTCCTCCCACTGCTAAAGACCCCTACGCGCAAACGAATTATTGAAATAAAATTGAACCATGTGTTAGTCCCGAAATGACCTAGTTTGTGTCGAGTGGACGTTAAACCCCATCTCTCTCTCTCTCTCTCTCTCTCTCTCTCTCTCTCTCTCTCTCTCTCTCTCTTTAATCCCCATAGTTGATATTTTCAAGGGATATGACATTTTCGCTCTTTAGAGTTATAACTTTTTTTATAGATGGGCACATCCCCGACATTTTGTTTATAAAACCCGCTTAGAAATACGACAACCAGAAGAAAATATTCATTGAAGAATAAACAACTTTGCCTGTCACTCCTTGACTGAGACGACGGAAACAAATTCCCAGTGAGATAAAAAGAAAAATCGCCTGGTAAAGGAGTTTGGTAATGTAATTTTATGTATATGCAATTCAAACCTGTGGATCTTTTCTTTCTCGCACTTTGAGTCGCTGCTGCGGCCTCGGCAGTCCTTTCAGCAATTCTAGCATTTATGCCTTTTAATATCATACACTTATTGTCTGCCATAGTTTGAGAACGTTCAGCAGTTGGGATATCACCCTCATTGCCATTCGCTTTTCTCATTTCCTCGTTTTCCATACCCTTCTCTACAGATTCAACAAAGTCGGTTATGCCTGCAGCCATTACGGACTACAACAAAAATGATAAATCCATAATATACTCATAGTGTAGGAAGAAATTAATAAGGAATTAATATTGCTAATAATATGTAATGTTAATCCAGGAAGCATTTTGTTTCATAATAACATTTGCCTGGTTTGGGTGGGGAGGGGGGGCGGTGGATCGTTGAGTAAGACGTTGGTTTGCTAACCTGGAGGTCCCGTGTTCAACCCCAGTGTTGATCGAGAAAGTTCGTCGGGTTTTTCCTGTGTAGTTTCCACCTTGTCAGTGGTAGAGGACGGAGCGCCTGGAAAGGGACAACGTAATATAGTCGTTTGGATGGGACCAGTAACCGAGGTCCCATGAAACAACCCGATATAAGAGTAGCTCAGCCACAATAGGACGTTAAACCTATTTCGTTTCATTGCTGTGGTGTTGGTCTATGTTTGTTTGAATCGCGTTTTTGATTGGCGATCGGAGTTGTCTCTTCCGTTTCCGACTTGCAATGGAAATGTCTGCCTAGTAACAGCTGCATTTGACAAATTATAGTGGGCTGTTCAAGAAAATAAATAAACAACAATAACCATTGATATTTTGAAGACATTTGTCAAAGTTTGTGCTCAGTTTATGCCGGTGTGATTTACGAATGTTCGGATAGAACTATGTATCCAGATGCCTATTCTCTAGATATAGAGGGTATAAAGAAGAGCCACCTTTGCTATGTCGTATGTTCTAGCGAGAATGTAAATATATGGTATAAACATCGTCAGTTTTATAATGGATGTAAATCGTTCGAATGATCTAATAACTATACAAATGGGATGGTTTATTATGTTGTTTTTTGTTTAAAGTTTTGTTTAGCAATATCGTAAAATGAAAATACACTGCAGTTGAATCCAAATTGGGATTGTTGTTATTTATTTTCTAGCGTGGGGTGAAGGAATAATTTTATTATACTGCAATATCATTCTACCTACATCTGGAATCTGCTGTAGTGCATCGCCGCTGGCTTCACAATCATAAGCTAAAAGTCGAGCACCTAAAGCTAGAATGGAGTCATCCACAGTTGAGAAGTCAGTTCTATAATAGAATATAGAAATTAAATCAGTGATATATAATGACTCGAAAACCTATTACTTTAGTTGTGGTTTTTATGGACTACAGCGTTCAGCTTACCTGTGTAAGAATTTAGGACCAGTTGCGCCCCCCCCCTCCCCCTAATAACAAATCATAGTATAGAAATTCACTTATTTGAGACTTTAGTTCATTCACTGTAGCTAATAAATTTGTATGTTATATTTGATCAAGATATGCGCTGCAAAGCATCAATGACACCCCGAAGTTTCAATATATTGAATATTCGACACAATGGAGCCGCCTTCGGGGTTAGGGACCGTTCTCAAACATTCCCAAGCGGGGATTCAAACCCGGGCCGTGTAGTAGTAAATGACTTTCTTAATCATACAACAACCACGATATCCTCGTAACCATACATCAACCACGACATCCCCTTATACCATTGATTCTCCACCAGTGTGTCGCGGCACAATGCGGCGGAACACAGGTGTGCCGCAAGATCTTTCTAAGTATGCCGCGAAATTTTTAACTGCACACTAAGAAAATGTGAAAAACCACGTGATCTCAATTGAGTATTCACGGGTGTCTACTGGTATGTTCATAGCTGTGTTTTTCTTTACTTAGTTTGAGTCATTTTATGTGTCTATGAGTCTACGGTTGTATGCCGTCTATGACTTGCCCTGTTTTTATTTTGCAAAATTTAAATTTTTTCAGATATATTTAGCTGCTATTTTTTCATGTGTTCCAAGGTGTGCCGTTGGCGAAAAAAGGTTGAAAAACGGTTGAGAACCACTGCTTTAACCATACAACAACCCCGATATCCTCTTAATCATACAACCACGATATCCAACAACCACGACATCCTCTTAATCATACAACCACGATATCCAACAACCACGATATCCTCTTAATCATACAACAATCACGATATCCTCTTAATCATACAACAATCACGATATCGTCTCAAGAACAATAAAACTTACAATTCCTGAGTAGAGACAAACTTTTCTTTTAGTACTTTAAGTTCATCTCTTCGTATTGATGGGCAACTGTCTATCATTGCAGTCAAATCTTCAATAGCTGTTATAGATGTTAATTCAGCAATACGTTCTTTAGGTAAAACGCAGACCAAGTTACCCAAAAGCAATAGCTCTGCATCAGATAAAGGGCCTGTTACTTTTTGCTGTGAACATAAAAAAGCAAAATTATCCTAATCATCTCAATTCTGAAACGTTCTAATTGTTTGAAATGGCACATGAACCCTTATGGGTGTTGAGGCCATTCAATATGTTACCCTTTTTTTCTGCCTCGCAATACATAAATGTTACTGAGAAATGATTAGACAGTTGGGTTGGTGAACCGGTGGTAGTGGTGGTGGTCTGAGTGGGGGGGGGGGGATACGTGTACTCTTATATGTTCTTTGTCACAAGGACTAAATCACACCAGTAATTCCAGAAAGCCAAAATGTGATATTGCGTCGTAAAGGGCACTCAACAATCTTACATTTTTGTGAAAAATCAATCAAGCCAAAACATTCTGACTTCTGTACTGTATGTTATAGATATCTAAGTTAGCTAATTTTGTCGATTTCAAAGTATTGAATTACATTATAATATGCAATCCAATAAATCAATAAAATTTCTTTATCTTGATATTTTTGTATATCTCCGGCCCACGTGATGTACAATTTTAGTTCATGTGACCCCTGAATCGAAATGAGTTTGACACCCCTGGTCTAAAGCTGCGTTCACACTGCATGCACATTCAATGCGAATTCCAGAGACCGGTCTCCGGAATTCGAATTGGTTTTTCCCGCTTTAACAGCGGTGCGTCACATTACAGTTTATTCGGATTGAATTCAGAATGAAAAGCGACACACTGAATGCGCAGCCAAGGTCATACATATGCAAAATGGATGTGCCAGACATTCGTATTGGTGATCGTACGTTGCTTATGTTTAATTTCCTGAGGCAAGCAAGGCTACATTCGCGACGCTGGGTCTTACATCTTCGACAACTGGCCATGCAGCGCCAGTCACGATTTCGTTGGCACCAAAATCAAATGCGAATGAGGATGATTACTCTTTTGATAGCGTTTGCTATACATCAACACGTATATATGTACATGTACTTCACTCTTGACTCTGTACTAGCGCAGCAAAATTGTTTCAGTGACGAATGGCTGCGGCTATGTAGGCTACATCCCAACATGCGTGCAAAGTTATCGTTTCCGTCAAAACTGTTGATCTGAGTCAAGCGTGTCACATTCAAATCTTGACTGCGAATAACCCGATTCGGAATAATTGTTCCGGGTTGAATTCAGAAAAAATATACGGATTCGTTAATTCAGATTCAGTTCGGTTTTTATCGAACTGGGTGTGACGCCAAAGTCCGGAATAAGACTTTATTCTGAATTCAATTCAGATTAGACCCCTAGTGTGAACGCAGCTTAAAGGATATCTCACTTTTATTCACGAATATAGAGAGCGGAATAAACTTATTCGCATCGTTTATTTGACGTTTCTTTAACTTTGTTTTGTATTTCACGATAGTACAAACTGGAAGGCTTTGTATATAAACCAGAATCGGCGGAGGATTAGCCAAGAAAACGGTAGGTTTAGTCAAGTTTTACGCTAGGTATGCATGGAATTTTTGAAGTTAGCTGCTAGCCTGGAGGTCGGGTGTTTGATTCCTTCTTTGGCCGAGATTTTCCGGCGTGGTTCCCCCTTGTCAGTGATGCAGGACGGAGGGCCTGGCAAGGACAGCTGTCTAGTAGTTCGGGTGGGACGAAAAACCGAAGTCCGTGTATACATTGACGTGCACGTAAAATATTCCTTGACAGTTGGAATTCGATATAAGAGTAGGCCGTAGTGCCGCTGCACGGGCAAAATTTCCCTCATAGCACACTGTATGGTGTATACCTGTCTTCATTAGCCTAGTTCGGAGCAGAAAAATAGGAATTTAAACCCCATTTCATTTGAAGTTAGCTCCTGAATGTATTTTCTTTTAATCGCCTAAATCTAAATATGGAAAATGTTTATTAGAGTTGAAAATAAATGACATTCTGTACGTACGTAACAAGTCTCTAAGGCATATTTAGCTATCATCACCATCTCCTTTCTAGGCACATCTGACAAATCCACTTTACCCAATTCTCGAACCACATCCTTACAGACAGCTGCTGGTATCTTCTTTAATTCAGCATCACTGATAAAATGGTAACCAAATAATAGGTGTCATTGTAATAAGATCCCTTTTGTTAAAACAGTCATTATTTGCAAAGTTTCTCTTTTGCAACGATGTTCTGTAGACGCAGCATCAAAGGGCTAATCCCTTTCCGTAAAATAGATTAAATACTGATTTACAAAAACAATGCCGTTGTTTACAACAGTAAGAGTTCTTCAAAACGGAACATAACTTCTTTTTAATTACAGTTGACCAATGAGTAAGCATATCACATAAGCGCCATTGGTTTGACCAATTTAGCCATTTTAATATTAATAAATGAATTAAAACGGGTACAGTTATTTTAAGTTTTTGTCTTTTTTGTCTTTCACAAATAGATTTACTCACAAGTAGCTTGAGAAATAAAATATTTCTATACGCCAGTTACAGATGTCGTGCACAAAGTGTAATACTTTACAGTCCTTTGGAACACGCTATACCACGGCTACCAATTTGTACATAACATTAAAAACAAACAAAATCCTTAACTTACGACAGGTATTTCAACGTTTGACCACCCATATTTTCAACGTCTTCACGAGTAATGGATGGTGCAGCTTCGGCAAAGTTTAAGTAACTTAGTTCTTTTGAAGCTAAAAGTTTAGCCTAGAATAAATTGAAACACACAAGATTTGAAATGGAAATGACTGCCTACTAAGGAAATCACTTGAGCCCGTGTCGGGTAGGATTATGCTTAATTATTGAGTAAATTAAATACACAATAGTTAATCAAAATGTGAAAGTAAGGACCGGGCCCTGACATCAACAGTGAAAGCCAGTGTGTCAGTATGGTAGATAGATAGATAGATTTATTTGGTACAGACATATATAGCATATGACATCCCATCAGGAAGTTCTTTTGCCGGAGTCCTGCTGTTTCCGAATAAATGTTATCCTGGTGAGGCTTAATGGAGGGGGGGGGGTCCTCGGCAATGGCGTCTACAGTCTTCCTCGGCGGCAAATGTTTCTGCTTTTGGTTGGTTTTGTTTTTAAAAATATTTTTATGATGTATATGTTCTAGTTAAGAGTTGGCCATTGTTGCTTTAATAATTCAAAAATAGATGATAAAAAAAGAAAATATTGAAAGTTTCAGTCAAGTTACTTTATACTGAAAGGAGTTGTCACTGTTGGACGTTTGGACTAGTAATAGGCATCAACTGTCTCCACACCGTCTTCGAGGATTGCCGATCGTTTGATTGACAGACGATAACTCCACCCACATATTCTCGATTATTGAGTAACATTCTCAATGGCTACGGTACCCCCAATTGATAGATCTTTCATTGGCAGTCCCCGGTAGTGACGTCAGTGACTAACGGTAAACGTTAGCTTGGTTTGCCGTAAATGAAATGAAATGGAGTTTAACGTCCTACTGTTCTGCTCCTAACCTGGGCTAATGAAGACGGGCATACGCCATACAGTGTGCTATGAGGGAAATTTTGCACGGACAGCGGCACTACGGCCTACTCTTATATCGAATTCCAACTGCCAAGGGATCTTTTACGTGCACGCCAATGTGTACACGGGATCTTGGTTTTTCGTCCCATCCGAACGACTAGACAGCTTTCCTTGTCAGCCCCTCCGTCCTGCATCACTGACAAGGGAGAACCACGCCGGAAAATCTGGATGAACTTTCTCGGCCAATGCAGGGATCGAACACCCGACCTCCAGGCTAGCGAGCTAGCGTCTTACCCACTTAGCCACGTGATCCCCAGCTTGGTTTGCCATTTATTGATTTAATTATTAAATGGACGACTGTGTAAATCCAAGCTGTATCCATGCCATCCGAGGGCCTAGAGAGGTGATTTTGAGGTGATATAAATAAAGGTCTAATTAATAATTTCTATAACATCTGAAGCCCAATGAAAGCCTTGCAATAAGCAGATTTAGCTCTTAACTAATCTATCTTTAAGAAGCTGTTACCCATCTACCTGTTTTTGATTCAAACATTTGCGTTCATTAAATACGTTTATCAAACTGGATAATTTGCTGTCCTCTGGCAGTGACTTAATATCCTCCAAGGGAATACCACACATAATATTGCAAAGTTTATTTGCATTATCTACATTAAAATCAGGATTCTTTATATCAGGTCGACCAATACTTTCTATAGCTTTCTTATACAGAACTTCACACTGAAATAATTATAAATATCACATAATTAAAGCGAATGATTATGATGGCATTCTCAAATGTAAATTTTAAATGACAGCAGTTTAACTAAAGGATATCTTTTTTGACATGTTTCTAATTTAGCGAGATTCACTCAATCTACTGATATTTTATTCAACTAATCCTTTCGATAATTGAGTCTAACATCAATCTACTTTGTCTAATTGGTGTAGTACTATAGGACTTCTTTCTTCTTGTGTTTGTTTCTTCACGTGGTCGTAACAAGACTACATCATAAAATAGCTTTACAACTTTATTGCTAAGCTGTAATGGCTTTGCAGGTTCCTCGTTCTCAGCTGCTAGAAAAGTTTGAATGAGTTCTGACCCAACTCGCTCTACACCCTAATTTATACCCCCTAATTTCTGCAGGTCTTCGATAACCTTTTCGTTAATTTCCAACCCATGTATGGAATAAACTACTTTATTTCCCACGACTAAGAGAGGAGACATTACCATATTTGGTTTACCAACCATAGGTCAATTAACAGCCAGAATTTGATGGATATTTTGACAATGATTATGATTTAACCAAAATATCACTGTTTTTTATATATAACTATCTATTCAGGTTCATTGAGTACGTGTGATTTGATTCTATAGACAGAGTGAAGCAACAATTTTGCAAAGAACCAAAATTGTCTCAAGGACCAAAGCGTTACATAGGGTCTAACATCAGTCTACTCGGCCACCAAGTCATGCTTGAGGTGATCGGGTTGTATATCAATCTACTCGGTGTATTCGACCATCAACAGATGCTAGTGGTGATCGGCTCTAAAACCAATTAACCCGGTCAATCGAAAAATAAAATTCTTACCGCTGCTCCCTCACAATCCACTGAACAAGACTCTTTTGTCACCTGTTCCATAAGCTCGTCTGCTGTTAACTGTTTTATCAGTTCAAGTGGAGCTTCCTTCATCAAACCTCCCAATTTTAATAAGTTACCTTTCGGGTCAGCAGAATTCCGTACCTGAATAGAATCAAGGCAAATTGGGATGACTACGACACATCTTTGTCTTACTGGGGTTAAAAGGTTACACTATTACTCCCACGAATTTACTGCATCCAAAGAAAATGTTATTTATGATTTGGTGCTTAGATGTCAAAAGTACTCCAGAGAGATTAACGCCCACTCAACAAAAACTAGGTCAATTCGGGACTAACGCATCGTTAAATCAACCGGGCCTTCAAATTTGATTATGGAACGAATATCGAAGGTAGGTTCAAATAAAACCTTTTCAATTGGTACATCATCAATTAACATGTACCGACCAAACAAATCAGTAGGAATAATGAATTTTCCACAAATAAAGACGAAGTGTCCACAAAACAAAGGCAAATCCAAGTAAATAGTAAGCGAACTTCCTAAATGGAAAATGATCAAGATGCTATACCGAATAGTGAATTAGTTTTAGGTATTCAACGGCAGAGTAAGCATAATCAGTCCTGAATTTCTATAAATACAACATCTTTATGTAAATAACAAAAGAACATTCTGTCTAGGAGTATGGAATGAAAGGTGTACTAGTGTGCATTAACTGTGGAAGATACAAGTATTAAAAAATATAAAATACATTAACCCCACATGCTCCTAAAGGAATGGCCCAAGAAACCCCTCATAAGGCCATTGCTGTACTGAAAGCGAAAACTTGGGGAATTGATTTAGTGTGTCTATTTTTATCGCCCAATCAAACCTCTGCTGAGTATAGTAGAATCTGTATTAAGCAATCACTCAAGGGAATTGTTTTCATGACTGACCGCTAAACGGGAGTGACCATATAATAAAATCTCAGCGTTTGTTACTCGTGATACTTGGGTGTATCGGGAGCAAACAAGATACGCGCATCGTTGACCAAAATATCCGATATAAATTCTGTAAACCCTTTTTGTGAAGGGTTAGGGTTAGTATTCCCCAAAATAATCATTTATATAAAGCAGCCAAACGGCATACAATTAGCATCTCCCTTTATACTTTATGTTAACACATTTAGAGCTCTGGTTAATCCCGATTTATTTTGTTACGCCGTAATGTATTGGTTGTTGACGCGACTGTTGACCAGTCATAATTTGGGACAGAAATTGGCGGGGAATCCGACAGTCTTTGAGTTGACTTAGGTCAAATTTAACGAAACACTGCGAGGAGTACGTAACCCCACATACATTTAGTCGTTCTATTCAGTGTAAAACCAAAAAGAATTTGTCGATGTTTTACATAGTTATATTTAATTTTACCTTTTCCATAATTTGTTTCTTTGTGGCTCTTGGAAGTTTTTCTCTTTGTGCACTCAGTATTGTTAAAACATCTGTATCCAGAAGGTCTGCATCAGCCATATTCTTTACGTCATCGGCTGCCAAAGCACGAGTGTTAGCCCCAAGTTTCTCAATGCTTTCTTTGTTCAAAGGCTAAAATAAGACGAAAGCTCAAGAAATACAACCATGCAATAAATGCCAAAACGATTACAAAACAATAAGCTGGGTTAATTGCCGTTTCCAGACTTGTACTTTATGAATCAATTGGGCTTTTACCGTAAGACTAGATTAAAGCACATGCAACATACCCAAACAGTTACCAATCAGATTAAAGCATGCGCAAATAGTACTGTAATTAGGGCTTCCACTGGAGATTTATCACCAGAATATTTTTATTTATAGTGTATTTAATGTGGACAATTATTGCGTTCAAAGATTAAACAGATTGGACTAGGCTACTTAAAATCTAAAAACGGGATTTATTGATATTTAAGAGAAATATTAAAATAAGGAATATGACTTACAGTATTCACAGGAGTACTCAACTTTACTAATTCCCTGGCCTACAAATAAATAAATAAACATTATTTCTCTAAAAAAAATATTTGAAAACAATGGGGTGGGCGATTGGTCTAATGCGTACGCCTTAGATTACAATGTCTGTCATTGAGTCATGTAGGACAAGGTAGGGGTAGGGTCAGAGGCGGATTACCCCTAGGGCCCAAGAAAAAATAGGGCAAATAAAATTTTTAAATTTGACGTTTTACATTATTAATTGAATTCAAACGTGTGAAAGGCAATTCAGATGTATGAATGTCAATTACAGAATACATTTCTCTTCTTTTAAGCAATAATAAATTAAGTTTGTTTTCATTTTATCCATCAATTGGCTGTTGCTGTGCTCCTTTGAGCATCAATTGATTGTCACTGGCCGACTGACATGGTAATGTTTGCCTAAGATGTAGTGCTTGACATTATTCCATCAGTATATCCTCGGAAATTTCGTTTCTCTTACAGCGGTCTTAGTTTTACTACGACAAACCAGTTCCGCAAAGGGCCCAGCTAGTCGAGCTGCCTAGGGCCCATTAGAACCTTGATCCGGCTCTGGGTAGGGTGGCCTGTTCAACATAGTGGGTTTTCTGCAGATGGACGTAGAGTAGACAATATACGCATATCATTGTGGCACTAACAAGGTGTTCATGCGACACAATCAGATCGAATTTATATCTTTGTTTTGTTACGTCGTCATGGTTTTAATTTTCAAAACATAAGAGCTTACAAATATTTAAAACGGCTGCCGTTTAGACGCTTGAAGACAGCTATATTGTAGCCTACACGAGATTTCAGTGAGTTTATAAATAAGTCAGTGAGCAGTGTCCTGGCGTTATTAGAACAGGTTCGTATTTTCATTGGTTGTTTACAGTACATAAGTAAGAATACGACACATTTATAAACTTGTTAGTTAAAGGACAATGTTGGTGTCAGTCATTATCACATATTATGTGATAGAACTCGCTAAACACGTTCCAAAATAATTTTAATACAGAGATCATTGCTACGATAGATGCATATAGTGAAGGTTTCTACAAAAGGAAGTGGCGAACACATAAGGAAAACGGGGGTTATCCTTCTATATAACTGACTGAAGTGACGAGTGATAACAGATACACAGGCGAATTTCTGCTCACTAACAATTCCTTCGAAAAACAAAAGTTGTTATGTTAAACTGCGAGAGGATATCTGCCAATTCAAAAAAGCAATTGAATGTCACTAGATAAGAGAACACGAGAAAAATTTAAATAGTCCGTACATTCACTTGTTTTTATTCATTCTATACTTAATAAAAACATGGTAATGCACGGAATTTTTCTATATTTTTTCGTTTTCTCTTTTCTAGTGACAGTCAATGTCTGTTTTGAATCGTCAGATATCCGCTCACAGTCTCGTATAACAACTTTTGGTATTCGAAGGAATTATTAGTGAGCAGATATTCGCCCGTGTATCTGTTATCACTCGTCAGTTATATAGAAGGATAACTCGTGTGTGTTTTCCTTTTGCGTTCGTCACTTCCGTTTGTTGTAACTTTGATTACGCATCTATCGTAGCAATGATCTCTGTGTTAAAATTATATTTGGAACGTGTTAAAATGACCGACACCAATATTGTCCTTTAAGCAAAATACGGAATATAAAGGACAACGAATTGAAAATGTCGGTATGAAATAGACATTAAATAAATAAATCGAATACATGCCATTGATTGTGGTAAATCAACACCAGAAAATTCACCCTCATCTAAAACGGCTCGTATGTTAGCTTCTGGGATGTCATTAAATTCCTGGTTAGCTAGACCACCAATAAAATTCTTCATGGATTTGACTTTATTAATATCCCAGCTGTTAAAATTCTTCAATGATGTTTTTCTCAATTTTTCCACCATACCAATTTTCTATAAGCAGAACAGAATGTATTTTTAAAGGCTAGTAGTGTTTTCAACGTCTGAAGATGAGCCAGGGGTTATATTTCTTTAAATTATAACTTCCCCATAAAATGCTGCAAAAGATTATTATTAGCTATTGTTTAAAAGATATCCCCCCACCCCACCAAAAAATCTCCCCAAAAAACAACAATATTTGTATATACAGATTAGCTCTGATACAGGTTCGTTGTCATTGGTTGACTCGGTAATCGATACCAGTTTTATCATACCAAATAAATGTCATAGTGCCTTGTCTGTGATCATTAAAGGGCCTTTAGGTAAGATTAGATAAAGAGCCGAGAGTCCTCGATATAATAGTTAGACAATAGGTAATGAATACAGAATATGCTAAAAAGTTTCAGTCAAATTGCTTCACTCTGAACAGACATATTAGCAATTCAATTTCAGACTAGCCTCGATCATCATTACACTAAATATCGCAGGCTAATGATCGTGTTATAGTACATATAGTTTGATATACTTTACTCGATTACTTATCTAAATTAACTAATTGCTTTAAAGTGGATAAGTTAATCTTTACTCCGAACCCCGATCCTTCTAATCTGAACGCACTGTCTTATCTATTTACCTTTTCCAAACATCTATCTTAAATTAATTTAATATTACTTAACATGCAACTTAGTCATTGATTCAGTATGTACCTATATTTGAGTTAGGTCTCAGTAATGTAAATATGTAAATTTATATCACATTTTGTATTCTATGTTTAACTCTTATCATGTATACGTTCAAATATTTCTAGTTTAATTATTATTAAGATATTAAGTTGGCGATAAGAGACGAAATACTGACATTTATGTTCATTCCTAATTAACCCAGTTCAACGTCAAATAATTAGTACTTATGTTTCTTATATACTCTTCAAAAAAAGTAGGGGATATTGAAATGCAAATACCTATGCAGGTTGTCGTATGATAAATAGTCATGGTCTCGTGGACACTTGACATGCTTTGAGAGTATGTTCACAGATGAAGAACTTATCGCCCCAACAGAACCACTGAGCTGCATGTGCGACACGACACGCAACAGGTGGGAGGAGTTCATTGTCAAATTTGACACTTCAAGAAAGGGTTGATGAAAACTGCCGCTTGCTGGTTTATCCTATCCATGTTTGCTTTCCCATCGGTTCTTGCATAAGATGTACTGTTTAGTGTTTCTTTGCTTTAGTGTGTTACGTTTAATTTGATCGGGAGACGTGTTCGTCGACGTCAACGTCAATCGACAACACTGCAAGAATTGACCATGGCACTGCAAGAGGAATGGGTCAGATTGTCCCAAATCGTGATTGGACAGTTGATTAGGAGCATGCCACGACGAATTGTTGAATTTCTGATGATTGGTGGTGCAATTACTCATTATTAACACAAAAATCAAACACGTTCATTTTCACTTTTGACAGTGTATCTCTTTGCGAGTGAAATGGGACCGTCAGATAAGTCGCCCATATGAACTGTTTATGTTCATTTGTAGGGAATTGGCCTGTTATTTACATGCACTGGTTACCTCTAATAAAATCAGCAGTGCATTTCCGCAGTTTTGTATTGTTTCTGAATATCCCCTACTTTTTTTGAAGAGTATATTATAGATTAAAGCTCCTTGAATAATAAATATTGTGAGAACTGTGCTTCGACGTATTATAAGAGCTACGCACCCCAGCATAAGAAGTCTTAATATACGTCAAGATAATACAAACAGATCACCTCGCAATTGCATTGAGAGTTGATTATGGTCTTGTCATGTTAATAAATGTCTTATTAATAGTTTATATAACATTTCAGGCCCAAAGAAAGACATGCAATAGGAAGATTTACCTCTCACATAATGTATGTTTAATTAGTATAAACCTTTGGTATCGTATTTGTTGTTTTTTTATTAGGCCGAGTACTGTATTGCTTATATACGGGCCGAACCTTTTACTTGAAAAAATTTGATGGTTTAAGTCTTTTTTTATGTAAAATAAAAATATTACCGTACATTACCAAGGCAACCCGGGCATCTAGTTAAACCGCGCCAGGGAAGCATCCTAGACTAAGTGACGACAAGAATGACCAGAATGGTGTTATTTGCAATACTATTTATAGTTGTGAACTTTGTCTTAATATAGTTCTGAAGTTCTATTTCTTTGTTCAGTCTTTTAAAGTCTGCATAAAGCTGATAGAGCATCTTCAGTTACCTACCTCATCTTGTTCTAATTCAACCTCTGACATTTCGTTTGTGACGTTTTCTAACATCCGCGGGGGAATTTTATCCAAGATTGTCCTATCATTAGGATTAAATTGTATAATTCTGTATTTCAAAATAAAGAAAAAATAATTACAGGGTATATAAATGCATTCCAATCAGATTGTAAAATATATTAAAGGTGCATTATGTAAGATTTAGATAACGAGCTGGGCGTTCTTGTTATAATAATTCAAAAATAGATAATGCAAAATGAATATATTAGAAAATTTCATTCAAATTAATTTATCACCGTTTGATGTTTTGACAAAATGTGACACTTAGTCTAGCTTCACCATTTTTAAATAAAAATCATTAAATGTCGATCGTACTTTAATCCGTTTAAATGCCCGCCATCCGATGATCAAGGGGGTTGATTATAGGCTTGTCATGTGCATAAGTGTCTAAATAATAATTTATTTAACTTTTGAATCCCAAATAAAGTCCTGCAATAGGCAGATTTAGCTCTTACTTAGTGCATCTTCAAGAAGCCAAAAACACAATCGGGTGGATTAAGGCTTCCAAGTTTGTTAATTACAGTATTCTTAAAACATATTTCTAACAATCTTATTAAAATACAGATCAATATTTCGTTTCGTATTTTAATACTTTTGATAGTCTCCATAGTGAAGACGGGTAAATCAAATTTTTGAACTATTAAAAACGAAATAGGGTCTGTGTTTAATCAGATAACTATATGTCAAGCGTAAAATAGTTGTAACAACTTGATAACAACTAACTAAGGTTTAAACAATTCTTGACTTGCGTTAAAAAAGTTATATAACTCTTCACAAATTTTAATTTTAACGATCGAGTACCTCGTGTAACTGTTTCAGCAGTATAACAGTGAACACACCCTACATGTATAAAACCACTTACGTAGCGATCTCAGCAGCTGTCATATCATCAGGGATGGGATTATTACCCGTTACATTAAAGGCTTCTTTCAATTGTTTAGATACTTCACGTTGTTTGGCCTTGGTCATTTTCTGTCTTTCGTCACGGATTTTGGATGCAGCATCCCTCATCTGCAATTTTAAGGAAACGTATTAAAAGATTAATGAACATTATCTTGAAACAGGAAGTCTTGTGGTAAGCTAGGGCGAGAGAAAGATAATTGGGGTTTAACGTCCTGTCGACACAAACTAGGTCATATCGGGACTAACATTATGATTCAGAAAAAAAGCTATCCGACTCAGTGTCACGTACGAACGGGGAATCTATGATCTAAAGCGCACGCGCTAATCCATTCACCCCTCCCCACCACATCCACAAATAAATTTATACGTTCATAAAACTGGATATGAATTTAATCCCAGAACTGTCCAATCCCCACTGGTTTGGCCGTTTTAGCATCCATTAACACTGTGTTATAAAATATTGCACATTATTGTTGATTTCGTCATCAGTAGAGTTACAGCTACAGAGTACCGTGTGGCCTCGTAGGTCTTAGTTAACGTTCATACATGACACCATGGCATCACCCATTACCGGAAGTTCTTTACTAAAGATGAAACCCTTGCTACCATCAAATTTCATCTACAATTTTTTGTCGAATATAATTTCCGATTCAAAGATTCGGAAATTATTTGAAGAATTAAAATACTATTTGATAATTTTATTTGAAAGAAACTTACTCTTTAGGACCCGATACCGATGACACAAATGTTAATATAATTAAAATGACATGGCTTCAGTTGTATAGTGTGGACTGGAAATACATTACTAGGGAACAGGAATAGTTTGTTTGCGTATGTATGTCGTTTAATAACAAGCTAAACTTACGGCTTGTGGGGGTATTTTTCTTATATCCGATATTGGTAATTTATCTATGGGCATTTTCTCAAGTTGTGCAGCTGTAATTTGATGTAATCCACCAAGTGATTCTCTGATTTGTTTAACAACGTCCTCATTATCTTCCATTACTTCACCTAATGAATCCAAACTGAAAATGAAAACGAATTAGGGAAATATGAAAATATGAAAATGGGGCCATATACATTATAATGTTTTCCACAAGATTAGCCTTATTTTTAGCTGTCTTAAACAGACATTAAATATGCATTATATAATTAGACAACAAGTTGGTCGTTCTTACTATAACAGTTCCTAAAAAAGATAATGACAAATGAATATATTGAAAATTTCAGTCAATTTAGTTTATTCTGAACGAAGTTCTAGGTGTTTGAAATTTTGACAAGATAGTCTCGATAGTTATAGTACCGTACTTTTAATGTTGAATTTTAAATATCTAAGGCATCCGATGCTCTAGAGGGTTGATTATGGACTTGTTATGTGAATAAATGTCTGAATAATAATTTATATAGGCAGTTAAATATCTTGCATAATGCATCTTTAATATTTACTGGAAGCAACAAATTTGATAGCGCCCACCCTTGTTATATTTGCAAGAATGTCAACTCTGTAACTATATCAATAAAAATCTGATTCTAGTAACGGGAAATGGTCATGCGTTACAATGGCTACACTAGCAAGGCTACGTTTGCAGCAGGAGAAACCTTTCTCAATCTCAGCTCGATTTGAATAGTGAGCAACAGTGACTAATGAATCAATCAGACGAAGATTTGCGTTTGACTATAGTCTAATTCATTAAAATATATTATCAAATATAAATATTTGTACTTTTATTTTACAAAATATACTCTCCTAAAAAAGAAACGCACAGCCCATTTTTTTCGCTTGATTGAACCAAGACACATGGGTTTAACAACTTCGCAAACTTTTCCCATGAAACCCAAATCTAAGGCCTTTAAAATCCCGGGGTTCTCGGTTTCAAAATCATTTGCACAGGTAAACACTCAACAAGTCAAGTGATGCCACATCTGAACGAAGACCAGTGGAACAACGCTATCGATTGGTTACAAGCAAGGGAATACCAGACAAATGTAGCCAGGCTGCTGAATGTTTCCCAGAGTACCATTTATCGCCGTTGGGATAGGTACTGACAGCGAAGATCAACATGTGGCCACCCAAGGTCAGGCCAAACAAGAGTGACCCCACTTGCCCTGGATCGTCACACCCGGTTCACAACAGCGACCCCTACTAAAGCAGCAATTCCTGGACGGCGTAGGATCTCAGACCAGACAGTCCACAGACGTCCCGTTAGAACTGTTGTTTTGAAATAGGCCGACACCGTCAAATCCGACTTCAATGGGTTCAGACACACAAGGTATGGCCACAGCAACGCTGGAGAACAGTTTGGTTCAGCGACAAGTCGCGGTTCCTGTTGCAACGTGGCGATTTTAAAGCGAGGGTATACCGACGACGAAATGTCACTATGCGTTTCTTTTTTTGAAGAGTATATAAATATTGGGTATGTATATATTAACACTTTAATTGACGTACTTTTCTTTTACTATGTCTGCTGGCATAAGCTTGATGTCGTCTGAGTCAAGACCTTGTATAAATGGAATGACGTTCATCCAGACAGTTTCATTCCAAGTAGATGCTTCTCCATTAGCTTCTTTAAAAGCATCTACCAAACCGGCAGTTTGCTGTCTATCCATTTCCGGCTGAGCGATGGACACACAAGATAAATTGAATAATGATACTACTAATAATAACAATACTTGAAACTAGGAAATGAATAGTAATGCAAAGCATCGGCTGATACGATAGCTTTTGTAATAGCTTTAAAAAGATACAAATCAAGTATGGACGTATTTTAGACCAGGAACCTAACAGGACGGCATCACCACCATCTTGGAATTGTGATGAAGTATTTCTGTCTAAGCACAATTAGTCAAAGTAACAAGCATGCCAAGTTACACATCAATCGTACTTGAATTAGCGGAACCGGGGGTGGGGGGGTCGAAGTGTATCGCTCTCAAAATACGAACAACAAGCTGAGTAGTGCTTTGGAGCCTAGTTCCTGGTCCACAAATATTTTACTTATTTCAAAGCTTAACAAACAGCTTGATAACAACCACAGAAATAAATTCGCAAAGTCATAGGATTATGTAATGCGTGATTTAGACATACCGCATCTTTTCCGAAGTTATTGTGGCACTGAAACATCTTTGCGATACGCCTGAAAGCTCCAATGTCCAGATGCAATGCTTTCCTGCATATATGCCCTATTTGAGACGATGTCAACTTCCTCTGTATTTTCATCATGTTATCAGGCTACAACAAATTAATTCACCGATTCATTAAAAAAAAAACACGCTTTACAAGCTGATTAAGTAGGTGATAAATTAATGTGAAGACATCATCTCAATTACAAGGCTAATGAGTCCATAAAGTGGTGAGTTAATGAGCAAAAGAGTTATGGCGTTAGTAAGGAATAATAAATAATATCCGACGACCAGCATTGTATATATAAACTTGATTTACACCAGTAACAATAATATAATTATTTACTATAATATACAAATATATAATCAACTTACAAAAATTAGAATGCCACTCCATTAAATACAGCATGGCGTTTATTTTCTTAATGATATGTTGCTCGATACCCAAACCGCAATGTGATATAAATATATATCCTTGGACAAATGATAATAGATGTTATCAATAAAACTTTTCCCACGATAAAACTGACTCATCGTAACGATTGGGTGGGGGGGGGCATGGGTGCACGTCCATATGGAAACGGTACATCCATAACAGTCTCCGCAACACTCGCTAAAATCACGTTCTGGTTGGGTGCGTTTGGGCTTTGTACATGCAGACCAGACATATCGCCTGTATAAAAATGACAGTGAGTTGAATGGTGACGGGAAACAAACTAACTTACTGTAACTATTGTAAATAATATTAAAGGCAACTTGTTTAACAAATCATCTGTGATTTCTCGTTGTTCTCCCATCAAGCCTTCAAAGGCATCTCGTGTCTCATTACTCATTCGACGATATCTATGCAGTACTTCAAATACACGCGCTAGGTCGGTATTATTAAAATTAAAAACTGAAAAATACAAAACGTTAACCTGGCTTGTAACATGGACGTGGGGTTGGTTTTCTGTGCAATAACAATAAGCATGTTGAGCAGTTATCAATGTTACAAGTCATTTATAGCACGCTTCATTCGTTAACCGGTTTAATCATGAATAACGCCAACTAGCCTATATATTTTGAAGCTTTAGATCTACCACGGCTGACACCATTAATGTAAACCGAAATATTGTCTTTTCGAGACCCAGTTTGGGGTAAGTAAAACATTTTCACGATAGCACTTGTACACTTTTTGGACGTAGACAATTGTGCACATTCATTTAAATTGTTAGACACAGAACTGTAGCTCTAGGCAATGCTATGCGTTCGCTTCTACATTTATATCAAGCGGAATACATATGGTTGCAATACATAATAGATTACACTACTTAAAATTAACTTGTCTTTCTATCCACCCCCTAATTTGCAGATCGAGTTTACTGACGGATTCCAACATCATATGGCTTTCCTACAAATCAATGGGGTCTGCTCCACCCAGTTGGTGTCTCTTGAACCTCAGCGGCTGTCTAACACTAAGGAATCCTCGTGATGTCTAAAATCTATAGGACCTAAATCACTCTTATAACATAGACAGTGTCCCTGACACAGCTCTATCAATTATTGAATTGGACAAATATTACGTAATTAATTATGATGATTGGTTACTAGGCCAACACAGGTGATAGACATGATATTCTGGGTTCACCTAAAATCATCTCTGTTTTGGTTTTATAAATCTTTTTATGTGTCAACCACTCAATCATTTTAATTTGAGTACGTATGATATGACTTCTCCATTAATTACGTCATAGTATTATAGTACGCCAAATTGAGTTCTAACTATAATAGTTCTAAAATAGATAATGATAAATGAATATATTATTGAAAATTTAAGTTAAATGGCTTTATTCTGAACCATGTTATGAGTGTTTGAAGTTTTGACAAGATACTCTCGATTGTCAAGTACTATTGCTACGATAATAATAAAGTCTCGATAATTATCCATTTAAAAAGACCTGTCATGGGCAGATTTAGCTCTTACATAATACATCTTTAAAGCAGGCAAGTCTTTAACTCAATATCATCCACAGTCTTTGACATGGCAAACAAGACTTAATGGTCAATTCAAATGTTGTTATCTTGCCGTGAAAAGATGGGATTCTGGTATCCAATAATTAAGACAAAATACAAATTTTAAAATTGGCACACGAATCGCGTGCAAGAATGCTTTCGAGCTCTATTTGTAATGAAGCTACTCGATGAATGAGGCTAAACATACCCCACAGGAGAATACGATCGGTGTAGATTGGAATAACCGAACGCCAAAGACTGCCATTCAATTTGGGTCTTTCGCTTATTTCGCCGAACATAACTGATTTCGAAATTAAGGTAAAATCAGCAACGATTGCATGCAAATCGGCTTATATACATTCATATGATTTCACCAGACCATAATCAACTCTCGATGGCATCGCCAGCCTGCGATATTTACTGGATTATGATCCCATTTGCTGAAATGGGTGATCGAGACTATGTTTTTTATCATACAGACTTTAGTAATGGTGATCGAGGCTAGGCCGAAATTTCAATCGTTTAATTCTCGGTTCATAGTGGATCAATTTGACTGAAATTTTCAGCAAATTGCCTTTACATTATCTAGTTTTTAACTATTATAGTGAGAACTGCCAGCTCTTTATCTTATCTCCCATAATGTATCTTTAATATAACTTACAATTTGTAGAACGCATTGCCTCCAGCTGGGCTTTCTCGCCATCAGAAAATGGTGCGTTATCGCCAAAAATCTTGGAGGAATCGAAATTCTCTACTTGTTTTTTCAGTTCATTTAAAGTTTCTTCGCCCTTATTAAGTAGGTCTGTGGGACTTAACAAACCATCTTCTCTTTTGGAACGGTGTGGTGTACCCAAAGCTGGAATTAAAGAAAACTAGCATTCAATCCAAAGTTATAAGATTTGTTATGTATATACTTCAGTAACTGGGCATTCTAAATTCGGGATCAGACGTACTCTTTTTTGAGCGTCACCCTTTCAATAAAACTATAGTATATTATTTATATTTAAGTTGTTGTTCTTACAATTTTAAAACCGTCTTTTAATTTAAGAGATTTTAAAACATTATCTATTTTAAATAAAACAGTCAAAATTATATGTTTAATGTTAGAAATCCACATGTCATCTATATTTAAAGGCTGTTTGAAAATTTAAATTTAAAGGTTGTTTGAAAATTTAAATTTAGAGGTAGTTTTAAAATCTAGATCAACAGACTGTTTTAAAATCTAGATCAACAGACTGTTTTAAAATCTAGATCAACAGACTGTTTTAAAATCTAGATCAACAGACTGTTTTAAAATCTAGATCAACAGGCTGCTTTACAATTTAAATTGTTTTACAATTTAATTCAGTAAAAACATACATTACTACACAATGGAACCAATATTTAATACAAACACATTCGTGTCATTATTATTAAGCCGTAATTGGTTACAATTGTCGTCCCTGGAGCATGGCGTGGCTAACATGTACTCTATAGCTAACTTAGTTTTTTTTTTTTGTATTTGTACCTCATCAAATATTGAACTAAAAGACAAAAGATCCATGACATCAAGCGGAATGGTATTTTTATACGACAAAATCAATAAAAGAAAGTTTCTAAAAATCAATAACAATGATGCTTTGCTAGAGCCTGTTATAACTATGAATCTTATATTTTATTCATAAATTAATTTATTTCACTTTAAGGATTATAAAGGATAAGATTAAGAAGACGGTTCACCCCTTTCTATATTCTAACATGAGACTAATAACGATCAACGATCAAAATTTCTGGGCTTATGAGGCTTCAAATACCTATTGGCAGGAGGTTATCTTCTACCCAACTGCTTCTAGTGACTTTTGACATATGAGGTTATCTTTCTACCCAACTGTTTCTGGTGACTATTGGCATGGGGTGATCGTCTACCCAACTGCTTCTAGTGGGTTTTGGCATATGAGGTTATCTTCTAGAGGCTATTGGCATGAGGTTATCTTCTACCCAACCGCTTCTAGAGGCTATTGGCATGATGCCTTATACCCAACTGCTTCTAGTTCTAGTGACTATTGGCATTTGACCTTCTAACCAACTGTTTGTAGTGACTATTGGCATGAAGTTATCTTCTACCCAACTGCTTCTAGTGGCTATTGGCATGAGGTTACCTTCCACTCAACTGCTTCCTTCCATGTCAAAAATCCAAATCTTTAAACACCTTATATTACCCCCCCCCCCCCGTATTTGGAATGTTCACATATCTGCTAGTTTATAATGTTCCCTTTTTTATACTACTTGTAGTTTTATAGAAAGGAGTCGCCCCAGATCTTTTTTTAGTGAATAGAACTGAGTTTGGTCATCAGGTTTAATGGAATTGAAACGTCCTGTTAAATGATAATTGACATTTTATCGCATAATTTAATCAGCTTACATAAACGAATACCCTTTGGACTCTACGGTTATCCCTGGATTTGATATACTGCAATAAACAAAACATATAAGATCTTTGTCTGTAGAAAATGAAATAACCAATTTAAGACTATATTTCTTTGAACATTAACATCATAGAATGAACAGAAATACCTATCTCTAAACACGAACAATATATAGAATGTTCCTGTGTATTATATGACCAATGCCACTGTCCTGTCTTTATAACGGTAAACTAATATTAATGTTAACGGACTATCGATCAGAATAATTGATTTTATAAACCAATCTATATATGGTCGTATAAAACATGTTAAGTATGTAAGTAATTCAGAAAACATGTCGATTTGCTATAACAAAAGGCGGGGTATTGATTTAAATGTACACTATTGTGTGAGATAGTGGAGTTGGTATAAACAGATCTCAATAAACCTTTAAATTTCTTATCTTAAATAGTCAAGGACAATCATAATTCGGGATAAAATCGGTGACCGGATGCATAGCAAATAACACGATCAGCTTATGAATCCAGTATTTGCAGAATTACAACTCTTTTTTGAATGTTTTGTTAAGACACTCGATAAAGGGTATTAATACTAATCCTTCGATTTAATAATACCATAATCTAATTGTGTTGTTTTCACTGAGTCTTCTATGATATATTCAAGAGAGAGAGAAAGAGAGAGAGAGGGGGGGGAGCCCGGAGAAAACCCATGAGGTTGGATAGGCTACCCTACTTCTTGCCACGTTCAAGCGGGGAATCGACATTACGTCACTTGACTCAATGACAGACATTGTGATTTCCTGCGCACGCGTTAAACCACTAGATGCCCGAAACCCTTGATATTTAAGTGTTTTGGTTGTTTTTGTTTTTTTTAACTTTGTGGGAAGATTCGCAGCAAAGGATATTTATATACAATTGGTCTGGTCAATATTTAGGAAAGCATGAAATTTTTTAATTTATATGATTATGTTGGCTATTTATTTTGCTTAAAACGAGTGTTCCACAAGCAACACTGCTAGTTGTACCACTGTTTTATTTGTATGCTAAACTTACACAAGATAATTTAGAATGCCTTAAGCTTTATCTTATGGTCACGAAGGAACGTGTTTCAAACCAGTTTTAGGATAAATGCATACATTTGATGTGTCATATTCCAACTAAATAGTTAATATAGCTTCTATACCTATTAATGTCAATTGTATTGTATTGATATCATGTGGGATCTCACTTGTAATCAACGACCTTTCGAAGTTTGTTATCATAATTATATGAGAATATAATGGTACCGTGAAAAGAAACAAAACTGTGTCCTCTAGCGGGTCAACAACCACGGTATTGCATGTGGGCGTGTAAAACGAACAACTTTCAAATCGTTAATGCTTCTGTCAAAATCTATGTTACTTTTGTGGAATGACCTTTGTTATGGTCCCTAGGGGCTCTTATTGTAATCAATATAATACGGGATTAAATATAGATTTAAGTTTTACATGACGACAATGTAGGGATTGTACAGATGTATCTTAAACCATACATTTAAGTCTCTTTTTATACTAAAATATCTTCATTGTATACTGATGTCGCTATAGCATCATGCTACCAGAGTGATACAATCAACAAATGCGAACGAAAATAATTAATCAAATTCTAAAAGCATTTTGAGATTGATCAATATGTCGGCAATTAAAAACACATTGGATCATCTGTTTTAGCAACGTAAATACACAAAATATTATGTTCCCCAAGAACTAAATAAATAAATAATCAAAACAATGTCTTGGTTCTGCTCAAATCAATCAATTGGAATCTTTTAGACAAAAGACCTTTCTAGTATCTAACATAATTAAAAATTCCATTAATAAATCATCATTTTGTCAATTTATACCATATTTGTAACATTAGTGTATATACATGTAGGTCGTCGAATTCACACTGACAAGGGATCTTTTACGTGTACGCCTGTTTGTACACGAGACCTCGGATTTTCGTCCCATTCGAACGACTAGACAGCTGTCCTGCACTACTGACAAGGGGAAACTATGCCGGAAAATCTCGATGAACGTTGTCGGCCAACACCGTGAGCGAACCCGCGACCTCCAGAATTGCGAGCCAGCAGCGTCTTACTCACTTAGCTACCGTGGCTCCAATTTCCAATGCAATTGACATGATGTGAATACATCCATTTATACTACATAATTTTATATGATTTGTTTACAGAAGCTGTGGAGTAAAAATGTACGTGAAATGTCAACAGAGAAATCGATTCTCTTGCTGCAGCAAAATGATTCTGATTAATAATAGATCTAAGTGTATCACTTTATACAGAACCACCAGCAAGGACTATGTTATGTTGTTTCTTTTGTTCTTCTGGGAACATTTTGTATATACATTCTTACGTGATCTCTAATGGATGCCATCTGGATTGTACTGCATGCTAAAAATAAGTTTAGCGAACAATTTGTCTAGTAGCTGAAAGAGGGTATCAAAATCTATGAGTTTAGAATTTCTAGTGTATTGGTGTTTTGTTTCTGTAGAGTTTGATTCACTCATTTGCTCAGACATTGGAAGGGGCTTTTTTTTCAAATACGTGGGGTAGGTATAATTCCTACAATTGTAGAAGTTGAGGTGGGGGACAAATGTGATACTGTTGATAAAACCCAACTATACTTTATATATTAAAACGTACCAATACCACAGATAAACAAAACAAACAAACAAACAAACAAAAAAACAAAAACATTTCCAACACCAATATTCCCAAAACAGACTGATTGAATGTTAAAAATATAAAGTTAAGTTTAATTAAAAGGTGAAGAATATAAACCTTATTTCAAACGAATGGTAAAGTTTGATACAAATATCTGATAAAATGTTTTAAGATTTTTCATAAAGATGCTGTTAGGAGATCGGACAAGTAGCTTTGACGGTCAAAATCATATAAAACATAACTAGAATTGACCAAATATTTTAAACTTTATACGACATGTATCATGAAACCGATGTAATTTTGTAATTAGTGTACTGCGGTAATATGTTCTCTGCTGTGTAAGAGCTGCTTTATTTGTCATCTTTTGACTGGTAATTTATACAAAAGGGAATTCATATAATTTAGTTTCAAATAATAAAGGCATTAACTACAATATTCTACGAGACTCTTCGTGGAATCGAATTGAACATCAAAACCAACAATCATCAACAAAATTTCTATTCTGAATGGAGTCACCGTTCATCATATCTAAAAGAGTTTAAGTCCCAAATTTAATTTATTCAAAATAGAAAAATTAAAATAAACCCCATGCACTATTACTTAAAAATTAAATTACACCATGTCTTGTGGTAAGGCAATAACTAATTTGTTACAAAAATTTTACAGGATCATTTAAATTTAAAAAAAAGTTAAGAAATTCGACAATCTAAATGAAATTCTTCATAAAACATGATTCAATATAATCAGA